TATACATATATGGAGTTTTGATCGTTACAAAAGTTGAAGATGCAAAAATTTCATGGAATGGATGGAATATCGTTTACTTGTACATGTGTGAAGTTTTGATCGTTACGGAAGCTGAAGATGGAAATAGTTTATAAAATGGATGAAATATCGTTTACTTATACAAACATCGAGTTTTGATCGCTAAGGAAGCTGAAGATGGAAAAATTTCATATAATGGATGGAATATCGTTAACTTATACATATATGGAGTTTTGATCGTTACAAAAGCTGAAGTTGGATAAATTTCATATAATGGAGGGAATATCGTTTACTTATACATATGTGGAGTTTTGATCGTTACAAAAGCTGAAGTTGAAAAAATTTCATGGAATGGATGGAATATCGTTTACTTATAGTTATAGGGAGGTTTGATCGTTACAAAAGCTCAAATTGGAAAAATATCATAGAATGGATGGAATATCGTCTACTTATACATATATGGAGTTTTGATCGTTACAAAAGCTGAAGATGCGAAAATTTCATATTATGGATGGAATATCGTTTACTTATACATCTATGGAGTTTTGATCGTTACAAAAGTTGAAGATGCAAAAATTTCATGGAATGGATGGAATATCGTTTACTTATACATATGTGAAGTTTTGATCGTTACGGAAGCTGAAGATGGAAATAGTTTATAAAATGGATGGAATATCGCTTACTTATACAAACATAGAATTTTGATCGCTAAGGAAGCTGAAGATGGAAAAATTTCAAAGAATGGATGGAATATCATTTACTTATACATATTTGGAATTTTGATCGTTAGAAAAGATAAAGTAGGAAAAATATCATAGAATGGATGGAATATCGTTTATTTTTACATATATGGAGGTTTGATCGTTACAAAAGCTGAAGATGCAAAAATTTCATATAATGGATGGAATATCGTTTACTTATACATATATGGAGTTTTGATCGTTACAAAAGTTGAAGATGCAAAAATTTCATGGAATGGATGGAATATCGTTTACTTATACAAACATAGAATTTTGATCGCTAAGGAAGCTGAAGATGGAAAAATTTCAAAGAATGGATGGAATATCATTTACTTATACATATCTGGAGTTTTGATCGTTACAAAAGATAAAGTTGGAAAAATTTCATATAATGGATGGAATATCGTTTACTTATACATATTTGAATTTCTAATCGTTACAAAAGCTGAAGTTGGAAAAATTTCATTAGATGGATGGAATATCGTTAACTTATACATATATGGAGTTTTGATCGTTACAAAAGCTGAAGTTGGATAAATTTCATATAATGGAGGGAATATCGTTTACTTATAGATTCATGGAGTTTTGATCGTTAGTAAAGCTGAAGATAGAAAAATTTCATGGAATGGATGGAATATCGTTTACTTATACATATATGGAGGTTTGACCGCTATGGAAGCTCAAGTTGGAAAAATATCATAGAGTGGATGGAATATCGTTTACTTATACATATCTGGAGTTTTGATCGTTACAAAAGCTGAAGATGCGAAAATTTCATATTATGGATGGAATATCGTTTTACTTATACATATATGGAGGTTTGATCGCTATGGAAGCTGAAGTTGGAAAAATATCATAGAATGGATGGAATATCGTTTATTTATACATATATGGAGGTTTGACCGTTACAAAAGCTGAGGTTGGAAAAATTTCATATAATGGATGGAATATCGTTTACTTATACAAATGTGGAGTTTTGATCGTTACGGAAGCTGAAGATTGAAAAATTTCATATAATGGATGGAATATCGTTAACTTATACATACATGAAGTTTTGATCGTTACAAAAGCTGAAGATTGAAAAATTTCATATAATGGATGGAATATCGTTTACTTATACATATTTGAATTTCTAATCGTTACAAAAGCTGAAGTTGGAAAAATTTCATTAGATGGATGGAATATCGTTAACTTATACATATATGGAGTTTTGATCGTTACAAAAGCTGAAGTTGGATAAATTTCATATAATGGAGGGAATATCGTTTACTTATAGATTCATGGAGTTTTGATCGTTAGTAAAGCTGAAGATAGAAAAATTTCATGGAATGGATGGAATATCGTTTACTTATACATATATGGAGGTTTGACCGCTATGGAAGCTCAAGTTGGAAAAATATCATAGAGTGGATGGAATATCGTTTACTTATACATATCTGGAGTTTTGATCGTTACAAAAGCTGAAGATGCGAAAATTTCATATTATAGATGGAATATCGTTTTACTTATACATATATGGAGGTTTGATCGCTATGGAAGCTGAAGTTGGAAAAATTTCATATAATGGATGGAATATCGTTTACTTATACAAATGTGGAGTTTTGATCGTTACGGAAGCTGAAGATTGAAAAATTTCATATAATGGATGGAATATCGTTAACTTATACATACATGAAGTTTTGATCGTTACAAAAGCTGAAGTTGAAAAAATTCATTAGATGGATGGAATATCGTTTACTTATACATATGTTGAGTTTTGATCTTTACAAAAGCTGAAGATGGAAAAACTTCATACTATGGATGGAATATCGTTTACTTATACATATGTGGAATTTTGATCGTTACAAAAGCTGAAGTTCGAAAAATTTCATTGGATGGATGGAATATCGTTAACTAATATATATATGGAGTTTTGATCGTTACAAAAGCTGAAGTTGGAAAAATTGCATGGAATGGATGGAATATCATTTACTTATACATATCTGGAGTTTTGATCGTTACAAAAGATAAAGTTGGAAAAATTTCATATAATGGATGGAATATCGTTTACTTATAAATATTTGAAGTTCTGATCGTTACAAAAGCTGAAGTTGGAAAAATTTCATTAGATGGATGGAATATCGTTAACTTATAATTATATGGAGTTTTGATCGTTACAAAAGCTGAAGTTGGATAAATTTCATATAATGGAGGGAATATCGTTTACTTATAGATACATGGAGTTTTGATCGTTAGTAAAGCTGAAGTTGGAAAAATATCATAGAATGGATGGAATATCATTTACTTATACATATCTGGAGTTTTGATCGTTACAAAAGCTGAAGTTGGAAAAATATCATAGAATGGATGGAATATCATTTACTTATACATATCTGGAGTTTTGATCGTTACAAAAGCTGAAGTTGGAAAAATATCATAGAATGGATGGAATATCATTTACTTATACATATCTGGAGTTTTGATCGTTACAAAAGCTGAAGATGCGAAAATTTCATATTATGGATGGAATATCGTTTATTTATACAAATATGGAGGTTTGATCGTTACAAAAGCTGAGGTTGGAAAAATTTCAAACAATGAGAGGGAATATCGTTTACTTATACATATATGGAGTTTTGATCGTTACAAAAGCTGAAGATGCAAAAATTTCATATAATGGATGGAATATCGTTTACTTATACATATATGGAGTTTTGATCGTTACAAAAGTTGAAGATGCAAAAATTTCATGGAATGGATGGAATATCGTTCACTTATACATATGTGAAGTTTTGATCGCTATGGAAGCTGAAGTTGAAAAAATTTCACAGAATGGGTCAGATCGTTACTTATAGATGTATGGAGTTTAATGAATGAAGCTAAGACACAGAATGACTACGATGGATATTGGGATGATGTGTATGTAGGTTTGAAAACATATTTTTTTGTATCTGACTTGTTGATGCAGGGTCCCATTTACTTTAAATTGCAAAAGCCAATCAAAACTCTTTCACTTGCAAGGATTATAATTATAATATAATTATTACAAATCTTTCACTCTTTCATTTTGACTCTTTCAAATCTTTCATCAAATATAAAAACTCTTTCACTTTTAAAATAGAATTACAAATCTCACTATAACCGGTATCTTGTAAAAGATTTATTTGGCATGATTCAAGTATAGTCCGTGTGTAATTAAAAGTGGAGTAGTACAGAGTTAGTCCATGTTTTGTTCCTACATCAAAAGATGCAATAGATGGTACGAATGGGTATAGAGTACCGAAGTGCTGATGTCATAAAAATCTATTTTTAGAAATTTTTAATTTTGATCCCAGAACCTGAAAGAGCATCGTGAAATACCCGTAAATTTGCAAATTCAATTAAAAGCATTACGAATTGGCTGAGATATGGTCACATGAGCACAGGCTCTTGCCCCATCAGACCTCTGTAATTTGGTCTCGGTTCGTAACTTTATGAACCAGGCCAAATTAACAGTTATCCGTTCGCAAGCTTTAAACCTTCCATATTGGCCATATCTCGCCCAATGTTGATCATATCTAACTGATTTTGCATATTGTGAGGTATTTTATGCTGCTCTTTCAGATAATGTGGTCAAATTTAAGAAATTCTTAAAAAAGATTTTTTATGACGTCTCACTTCGGTACTCTATACCCATTCGTACCATCTATTGCATCTTTTGATGTAGGAACAAAGCATGGACTAACTCTGTACTACTCCCCTGGAAAATGGGGAGCTTAGAAATGAGATATAAGTATTGATAAAACGCATTATAAAATAATCGATGGTATTAATAGCAGTAAATATGAGCTGAAAGTAATGGTGAAATTACAAAATAAAGGTTAGTTTGACATGTACTGTTGGAAAGCGATATGAAGGTGACATGATATCATGGGACATGATATCATGGGACATGAAAAAATTGTGGGCATAGAGTTGCTTTTAATCTCGACTTGTATGACCATTGCGAACTGCTTCAAGAAACATCCATGTTTTCTTCGCCCTTTACTTTGTATAGTGGCAATGGTTAGAGTATTGTGGATTGAAAAACTACCCTCTTGCTAGTTGTATTTCTATTTATACTGGGAATGACTGATTAAAGAAATGCGCCTAATTAATCGAGGCAATAGAGAATGAATCGTTGATATAAAAGTCCTTTTGCAACGGTATTACCTCGTTGAAATGTTAAGCGCTTAATTAAACATTTAAAAAGAAACAAGTTATCATTGTTGATATTCAACATACCTGGTAGACGGACTGGACATGTCCACGGAATGAAGTGATATACCTTGAATAAGAACGTCGATTGTTAAAGACTCATAAGATAAACTGACGGTTATAAATTGCGTGCGACTGAAAACAGTCCATACCCGATTAAAATCGGAAAATGCACATTATTATCCAGCTTCATTCCTACAATAAACAATTTAAATTCTACGTCATAAAGATTAAAAATGTAATTCGATTTGAAAAATGTGTCTAGGTTTGTGCCTTTTTAACATTCTCATTCGCGAAAAGACAACTAATAACTAACTTGTAATTATTTACGAAATGTTTCTTGCTGTTCATTTATAATTTTTGTGATTGATAAAGTTTTAAAATTGTTTTGCTACAGATGAAATTTTGCTTTACTAAGTAAGAAGTACATCCAGTACTACTTATGGACTATGTCGTGTCTGCCATCGTATGTAAGTAATAGACAACAGTATGATTAAAACGACAATATTTTTCAATGGGAATTTTCATGTTAGTAATCTCATAATTAAAAAATGAAAAATTTGCTGTATTTGTAACTGAATTTCGACAGCCATTATGTAGCAATGGTATGAGCACAGTGGATATGAGCACAGAGACGGGGGATGTTACAATATAGCTTCAAAAACATTCCTAACCCATATTTCTTATAATTTGCCCAGCCTTTATGTAACCATGGTAGGAGCACAGTGGACATGAACACAGAGACGGGGGATGTTACAATATAGCCTCAAAGCCATTCCTAACCCAAACTTCTTTAAATTTGCCCAGCCTTTATGTAACCATGGTAGGAGCACAGTGGACATGAGCACAGAGACGGGGGATGTTACAATATAGCCTCAAAGTCATTCCTAACCCAAATTTCTCTTAATTTGCCCAGCCTTTATGTAACCATGGTAGGAGCACAGTGGACATGAGCACAGAGACGAGGGATGTTACAATATAGCCTCAAAGTCGTCATTCCTAACCCAAACTTCTTTTAATTTGCCTAGCTTTTATGTAACCATGGTAGGAGCACAGTGGACATGAACACAGAGACGGGGGATGTTACAATCAGGGGCGAAACTACTGGGGGGGTATGGGGGGGTGCTGCACCCCCCCAATCTTCAAAAAAGCAGATTTTGTCGGGCAAATTTATGGCTGCCAGTGTATCTGTCGGGCAAATCTGGAAATTTTCTTTAGGTCGCACTTTTATTGCTACTTTTTGCCCTAGGTTGGTTTCTTAATTCATGGTCTTTTCCCCCATCTTTTTTTCAATCTCCTCCCAGTTGGGAAAACAAAACAGAAACGAGGCAAGGAACAGCAACATATATACATTTCTGTCTTTCGTCCGTCCACCGATCAGCGCTTTCGTCTGGTGCTCAACGCGCACATGTTCATCTTAGCCTCGAGATGAAGTCTGAAGTATTGATCGACAGCAAAAGTATAGACGGAAAGTAAAATGTGTTTGATGCGAGAAGGAAATGAATACTGTGTATACCCCTCCCCCCTACTTTTTGCAAAACAAGTGAGCTTTTTTCAAAAAAATTTTTTGTGATTTCTAAATTTTCCATCATGCCTCGGAGCTCGGAGACAGTTAGAAGCATCATGAATCAAAGCATGAAGGATATACCATCTCGGAATACGTTGTTGAGAAAACCAATCAATATTTTCTTTTCCAAATGTATGAAACTTTCATTTATGAAATCATACATTTCACAACAATACATCCAAAAGGAGATATGCCCCAAAATTATCTCAAGGTTTTACACTTACTGTTTGAAAGTATTGCACCCTTCGCTAGAAAATGGTCATACAGACGCCAAAGTTTTTTAACTAAAAAAATTTGAATAACCATAACAAGTAACAGAAAGTTTTAATCAGTTCAAGCGGGAAATAATATAAAATTTATCAAGAAATTTTAGTTAAGATATGAATTGCAAAAATCTTTCGAGTTTATTCTATTTCTGAACAATATCCATGATTACGAAAACATGAAAATTGAGCTTTGATGATAGGTATACTTGTAAAATACCTCCAATAAAAAACTTTTCTTTGCTTGAGGGATTTTGTTATGGTGAATTTAGATATACGTACTTTGTGCTTGGGTGTTTAAAAATATTGAAATTCTTCTGGAGCAACCGAAAATTGAAAATGAAACTCAGAGAATGCAACTGAAGCTCTTTTTTGTTGAAACATTGTAACCTGCGTAGCTGTTTCTAAATTCCGAAATCTCCAAGCTGTGTTTTGGTGTTCCATTTTGATAAAATTGAGACCCTACTTCAATCTCTTTTTTGAATTGCTCTCTTAATAGCTAGGTGATTTAGAAAGTGAAGACTTTTTTCTTTTATAGAAAAGACAGGCCTTACAAATGCTTGCTTTTCGGAAACAAATGTTTATAGCCAACACCAGAAAAACTAGAGGCATATTTTTTGACTTAAAACAAACAGCCTGAGTCTAAAGACCCTCTCTCGAGCTTCCCGATGATTTCCACCCTTGAGGCGATGTGCTCTAAAAATGAAGTTCATGTAGGACACGCCCTTTCATCAAGCATGCCACGCCCTTTCGTCGGGCAACTAAGCTTCATACCCCCCTAATGAAAATAGTGAAGTTTCGCCCCTGGTTACAATATAGCCTCAAAGTCGTCATTCCTTACCCAAACTTCTTTTAATTTGCCCAGCCTTTATGTAACCATGGTATAGGCACAGTGGATATGAGCACAGAGACGGGGGATGTTACAATATAGCTTCAAAAACATTCCTAACCCAAATTTCTCTTTACTTGTCCAGCCTTAATGTAACCATGGTAGGAGCACAGTGGACATGAGCACAGAGACGAGGGATGTTACAATATAGCCTCAAAGTCGTCATTCCTAACCCAAACTTCTTTTAATTTGCCTAGCTTTTATGTAACCATGGTAGGAGCACAGTGGACATGAACACAGAGACGGGGGATGTTACAATATAGCCTCAAAGTCGTCATTCCTTACCCAAACTTCTTTTAATTTGCCCAGCCTTTATGTAACCATGGTATGAGCACAGTGGACATGAGCACAGAGACGGGGGGTGTTGCAATATAGCCTCAAAGTCATTCCTAACCCAAATTTCTCTTAATTTGCCCACAGTTTGAATTAAATAGATATAATCACTACAGTAACAGAGCAACATACGTTCCAGTCTTTCCATCCCAGAGTTTCACTGACTTGTCGAATGATCCACTAACAATCAATCGGCCATTTGGAGAGAATTTGACGTCATTTATCAAAGCTTGATGCCCTGTGGGATACAATGATTTTCGGTACAATGATTGAATACTTTGATCGTCGAAAAGCTTTTCAACCACATTAGAAATTTAGTTGGTTTAAGGTTATACAGCCGTTGGCTAGCTGAAATCGTTATTGCTTACTTAGGAATTTGACCATTATTCATTGCTTCATTCTCCGATTAGGTTTATGTCAAAATCAGTTAAAGTTCTCCGTACAAATAAGAATTATTGTGTTAATGCTTGTTGCTTTTGCTTTCATAAAGCTCTTCTTATAGCGTGAATAACGAAATTACAGCTCGAAGCTGGAATAAAAACCATGCCTCTCTACATATCTGGAAACAGCTGTGGAGAAAAAGGCCTAAGGCATGATGTGTAGGGTGGTTACAAATTAATGAACCACTTGCTCTCCTCATTTTTGGATATGTAGGGTTTGTATCAACTTATATATCAACTTTCAACTAGGCTTTTAAATCAGAATACCGTCTGTATATGACAGAAGCTAGAAATTGACGTCTGTGAATTCAAACCTGTCATTCTTGCCAATGGTTTCTTGTTATCCTCTGGTTCCCAAAGAAAAAGCGTAAAATCATCTGAACCAGATACTAGCTTCTCAGGACCATTTCCCTGCACAGAAACACAGTTATAAGTAATACAAGACAAGATCAAAAATGCTGTAACAAGATGAAGTATTATGATGATGAACCAGTGCACTGGAATAGCCAAATCATTACGAAAAATTCTGATGATTATTTTTCAATTGAAATTTCGTGACGGCTTTTTAGTGATATGATTTTTTCTACAGCTTCGTTGCACTTAAGATTTTTCCTTTTTACATTTAAAATTTTTCATCTTTGCAAGTCAAAAAACATTAATAAAGAATGAACGATAATAACGTTAACAGGAGCATTAGGAAATACTATAGCAGGAGGTACCTCATATAGGTTGCACCTTGAAATCCATGCAATATATTGAAATGGGAAATGACAAATCCTAATATCTCATACGTAAGAATGATTTTTGCAAGACTGTCAAGTCAAGTCATTATAGAGTGCAATGGAAAAACTATAGCCACATATGAAAATTCATATGCATATTCATATGGGCTTTCAATTCAGTTTTTTAGAAATGACCATATAACAAGGATACTCGGTTTGACTGATTGAAAGTATAAGTGAAGAAAAATAAATATATGAGGCAGACAAAGCTTTCAAAAAATAGTTTCTATTTTACAAGTTTCAAAACAGAACTACTGCTAAAAGTGCCTAAATAAGCTTTCATCTTTTTGTAAGGGTTAGAAAATTCAAAATACTCTATTTTTTGAGAGTACACAACTAAAAAATGTTTGAATACATATATACCTTGGCAGCATTGTATCTATCTAGAGCAGTTTTTCTTATTTCCTCCACACTACCCTTTGGAGTTATACCTTTTTCAGGCTCAAAAGCTCCAGTTCGGATTGCATAATCGGTATTAAGAGCCATAGTATTGACCTATAAGATGCAAATGAATGATGAAAAATGAACAAAGCTGTTAACATACTAGAAATATCTTTGAAAACATCCCAAATCAGAAATATAAATGAGATGGCCCGGGGCACTTTCTAGTTCTTTCGAACGTAAATAGCTGATTCCCAATAATGTTTAACACAAGTAAAACCGTTCTCCAAAAAAATTATATTGAAATTCCTTTACCTCCGGGGATAGAGAAAAGATCCATGAAATTAGGAAGGTTATCCGGGGGTAGGTATATAGGATGGGGAAGACGCAGCAGAAGAAAACAATATTTGGAAATCGAATACAATCAATACGGAAACAGAAACTATAAATGTACAAAGAAGCATAGGGTTCTATCCAAAGAAATGTAATAGTACCAACCCAGTGTCCATGACCTTGTAACGTTCTACATAAGACGCCCTGAAAACATTAAATATGTGTAAGAAAAAGCTCTGACGATTGTATTTTTCATCATTATAGTGTAATTAGATATCAAACCTTAGGATTTGGTTACAAATTGCAATACAACAAATTACTGATGATGATGACAAGGTTTTAGGATGGAATAATTCAGATCACGATGATTGTAGCGATGGCAACGGCAAATATGATTGTTTGTTGTGATGATTATGATTATGATTATTATCATTTTTACGACCATGCTGATGATGTCACTAGGTTGAACTTACGTCATTTGAGCGCCAAACTTTGATCGTCCTATCTTGCGACGCTGAATAGATGAGGCCATTACCACCCCAACGAATACATGTGACGCACTGGAGGTGACTTGATAGCGAAATCAAACACTGGGATAAAATGACATCCCAAATTTTGATTGTTGCATCCTGTGGCATAAAACAAAGACAAATGATCTTACATACAAATGAAGCATTCTTATAACATCTAACGTCTAACAAAAAATGAAGCATTTCTCCTCTAATTTATTTAACTGTTTAATTCTGATTGATATCTGTCAGTTATGGATAAATAAGTCTACTAATGCGACAGAATAATGAAAAATAGTTGGAAATAGAAGTGCCTAAACTTTAGATGTGGTATTATACGAGAAAATTCACAACTTAGAAATGTTAATGTTAGCAACATATGAAAAATAAAGGGAAGGTGATGAAGGAAGGAAGCTGATGAGGGAGGGAAGGTGACAAGGGAGGGAGGATGACGAGGGAGGGGAGATGATGAGGGAGGGGAGATGATGAGGGAAGGTAGAGAGATAGCAAGGGAATGACAAGGAGGTAGGAATAATAGGAGATGGGGGTATCGAGTGAAGGGGAGCAAGGGAGGAAAGAAAGAGGAGGAAATTAAGAAGGAAGGAAAGATTTTACTTAATATTTGCAGTAAAAACATGGAAAAACGTGGGGGTAGATGGGGCACCTGTGGCACGTGCCTATCCTAAACTTTGGAAAGCTGTAGCCTCTTTCAAAAGACCATGCCTCACTTGAATGTCTTTTTATCCTGTCGGTACCGTCAAATTTCATATGCATTTGATTTCAATGTATAAAGTATTGAACTAAGCCCTGAATATCCTCGAAAACGATTGTAGATTGGAATTCAAAGTAAGGAGGAATCGCCAAAAACCTTAAAATGATTACCTTTGAAGCACTTGCAAGTTTTCTGCATTCAGGATTACTAAAATTCAACAAAGTTGTATATTACTTAAAATATCAATTTAATTCTGCTTCTTGTAGCAAGGAAAAATATGGCAAAGAAAAAACACGAGATGCAATTAAAATGTTAAAACATTTATTGAGCCAGCTAATTCCATAAAAAATATATGTAAGTGAACGAATATAGCAAGTTGGAAAAACTGTCGGTTTGCTGTCTCACTGGAAGAATGCTCACAATACAGATGTCACTATTTACTTGTAGAGCAAAATCATTTCACAAACAAAATCACTTAGATTGCTCCAAGAAACTACATTCTATATTAGCTTGAAATGTACATAAACTCCCATAGCTTTAATATAAAAATAATTTAAACCCCCGTCGATTGCCACTTTCTTTCGAACTCCGAATCTCATAACATCTTGATGAACAAGGGAAAGCAAACCACATATTTGGTCCTGCAACGGCTGTTTTTGGTGCAAAAGAGGTAGACATGAAAAAAAACCATCGAGTTTTTCCTTTAAAACTAATGTAGTTACGTCAACTACAGCGGAAAATTTCAAGTATAGTTCAAGACATTCTATAGACAGCAAAAAACTTGAAACAATTCAACCCACCTGTGGAGTGGCTCCCAGCTCAACCACGTTATCCATTGCCTGTGTCCAGTCAAAGTTTTACCGATTTGCTGGCCATTCAAAGGGTCCCATATCCGTAACTTTGATTAAAAACAAAACCAAATATTGTACTCAATTTAAACAAGTGATTTTACCACTAAATAGGCTTGTATTAGAAACTGTTACTTTGCATATACAATGTGAACATTTTTAGTATATCAACAAAAAAGCTCCCAGCAATTCTTCATACCTCCTTCAAAAATTTGTTAACCAATTTTCATAAAATACCCACATTACATTGGATAATAACAATTTTGTTCGAAAAGTGAAAGGAGTAAGAATAAATGGAAAAAGGTTCCAAAGTTATTGGCAATGCCTGTATTTTCAAAACGAGGTCGCAAAGTAAGGAGAAGCGAATCACGCGTACGAGGCATTGCTCGTTGAAACATGGCAAATGATTCCAGGTAGGCTTATTCTAACTTTGCTGTTTTGTTTATTTCTAAAGGCAGTCTCTTCAAATATTCACTGAACTGAAGTTTAAATAACATGGAAGAGTGGGAAAATGTCATACTAAAGTAACTTTAGTCCGACATTGCTCAGAGTATAATGTCCAAAGATAAGCAGAAAATTCATTTCCAGATGCGGATGAAAACTGAATTGTACAGCATAAACTCAGTTTTGCGAGAAGGGACAAAAGAACTGGAAGGGACAAGAAACATAATGAGCTTTGTAACATTTATAAAACTTTGGTAAAAAAATTGGATTGTGGCTTTCTTGTAAACGCAGGAATAAATTGCTTGCAAGAACATAATAAACTCCTATATTATAGATAAAGGAGCATTTCAAATCAATCTTTAGTTAGAACGACTTCATTTGAAAAGTGCACGTATTCTCACTCAGGCGTTTCCCGGACAGCAGAACAGCTACACTTTTAACTTGTCGAAAAGCAGTCCTGTATTGCCTTATTCACAGTTATTACCATAGTATCACCAAAATAGAGGATTGAATTACAGACCTATCTAAAAGACGTCATAATAAGTTAACTCTTAAAAAAATACAAATTCACAAGGCCCATCGCTCAGTCTGGTGGAAAAGCCTTTATTCTCCTTCGAAGGTTCTTATTACGAAATATCAAAGCATTATAAGGAAAATATCAGGGGCAGAGCTCACCAACCAGTCGAACCCCATCAACCACTTTCCATTACCCTTCTCCGCATTTAAGTAAGATAGAAATAAAATACCTCGCAGTTTTTGCAACCGGATGCCAGTTTTTTGCCATCTGGGGACCAAGACATTGCCAAGATCCAATGCTTGTGCCCTTCAAAATAAAAAAGAATATATCTGATAACACAGGTCTGATACAAAAGTAAAAATGCTAATGAAATATGAAGGGGGGGGAATCATTATACAGAAATCTCATTCACCTTTGGTGGAAGTCCTCATCCTTTTTAAATTCCTATGCATATCATACTAAACACGAAGGTTTTTGAATAGGTTTTAAATAGGTTTTTATCAATATAATTAGTGACAGATCTTTGGGAATTCAGGCTAAATATAAGAAAACAAGGTTTTCACGTATCAACTATCATCACACAATTGAATAAAGAACAATATACACACAATTATCTTCTAGAAATTAGTACACACTTTTTTAAATAGGTTTGCTTAGATATCAAAATGTGTAGTTATCAAGGCCTTGAGGTTTGATATTTTCATCAGATGATCCATCTACTGTCATAAAGCGCCCATCAGGATTCTTCTGTTCAATGCTGATATTTTATCACGTTTAACTTTTTGTAAGATAAAAACCTTCCTTGAATTTCAGGATGAATAGGTTCTTCTGTAATGGGATGAAATTGGAACACTCCAGCTTCTTATAAGTTAGTGGTTCTTATATGTGGGTATTTACTGTATTGTTTTTTCAGAAAATCAAAAAACAATCCTTTCGTTTTAGTGAAAACTCGTACTCTTTTTCCCAAGAAAATTAAAAACAAATGATTTACAGCATATTAAAATTTTAGAAAGGAGGTGCACCTTTTTAGAGAGCTCCTCCTCCAAATTATCCCTACGTATACAAATGTCTTGTTCGTGTGTGTTTCTTTTTCTTTGTAAAATTGAACGCACGTAAAGTAGAACTAATTTTAGTTCAGCAAAGTGTAACTTGTGCTGTTTTATATATGTATGAGTAGACCATTTCGGAGTTCATGATGGAATTTTATTCTTCGATAGCTACAAATCGCTCAGGTGGGGACAGCCAGCACAAAATCATGGTGGATAGAGGCTGTTCTTCCACCATTTTGGTAGCAAAGCTTCTTTGGAATAGATAAAATACTTTTTTAATGAAAAGTTAAATTTTGCTGATTAACAATGGGCCTTGTTTGAGCTACAGAAGAATATAAAAATCTGGATGAGACAGGCCGCCACAGCCTTTGCCGCACTGGATTCATGGCTCTGTATACTTCCACAGCCATTTCGATTCGGTGCATATGGTACTCCAAAAAAAGCGGTTATGTGAGGGCTAAAGCAACATTGTGCATTCAAAAAATGTGTTCGAGCCACCGAGGGGAAAACCACTCTAAAAAATCTCGTACATCTTTGGTGGAAATCCTATTGTTTTGTCTGAAAATCCCCAGAAATCCTTTTGTTTTATGTAAAAGTCTCGTACGCTATTTTCAATAGTGAATTGCCCCCTCGCGAACCACAAACTGGAAAAACTTTCAGGGAGGGGGGGGGGGGGGGGTTGGTTGAAGCCACTTCAGGCTAAGATTTGCCAGAAAATAAGAAGAAACAAGGCAGGCTAAAACTCAAGAAAATTCAAGAAACAAAATACTAGCAAAAATTGAAAAATGAAAGAATATCAACAGAAAAAACCGAAAGCGATGAGCAAAATATCAAGCACGTTATATCCGGATACTTCTTTGCACAGGAACTTCTATTACAAAAATTAAAAACACGCAGGGCTGAAACTACCCGAAATAATAAGAAACGCTGGCTGGAACTGACGCTTCGCCGAAAAAAGGCGAGTCCCCCAGCCCCCTTGCTGGTCTCGGGCCTCTGGATGTTGCAATGAGGTGAATAGCGTATTCGATTCACCTCATTGGGATTTTCTGTGCTTAGCTGTCATCACTTATTAATAGATAAAGCAAAAAGCCGTTCCCGCAAAAAATTATTTCTTAACATTACGTCATTTTTGTTATGGCTACTGTAACCATGTTGCTTTGCCATGGTGCAATCCAAGTGAACTTTGAAATGAATTGCTAATAATAGAACTTTCGTCTCTGAGGTCAATTTGATTGGTCATGCAGAACAATAGCGGCGAAGGATATAAATTGTTTCCCAGAACCTCAAACTTCAGCTGATTGCCAGGCAGCTCAAGCAGCCCGAAGGTTGAGCCGCCATCGTCAAGATGAGGTCCGACTGGAAGTGGCTGCTGACATGGATTCCGATAGAACCCTAACTGATGATATCAAGCTTACTTCGTTTGGTTAGTCTGCTCAGACTAAACAGCAACTGGTCTGCGAGCTCAAGTCGCCAGCGTCCACGCCATCACTCCAGAGTGCTAAGTGGATGACTTGAGAATTCAAAGGCCCCCACGTCTTCGTTCGCCTATGGTTGTGTTTATCACCCCTACATAGCGCACAAAGACATTGGGGCTGGGTTGTCTCGATAATTGTGAGTATTGCAACACGTTGTTTACTTCGCTGAAGATGGAAACTATCGAAGAAACGTCCACTTGGTAATTGATTGGCCTAGCTAGATTTAATCAATCCACTTGGTATGGCCTAACTAGATTCATCACCAGCTCCAACTCGATCTTTCCTCGTATCTTCATTTTGGTCACAACCTCCTTTCCCGAGAAAATTTTCGCTAAGAGCCTCCATGTTTGCCCAATTTACGTTATTTTTGAAAAGATAAAATGAAAACATAACAGAAAATTGAAGCCGTTGTTCCCTCGCATTGCAGATTGTTGCATTGAGATACCAAACGGTTGAAATAAGTTGGAAACTAAGATATTTTTTGTTTGCCAAAAGATTTAGGTATAAACAACAACTTTGCCCCCAAACTACAAACAGGGCTGTAAAATGAATTTTTAGGTACCTTTGCAAGTGAACTGTGGAGTTTCTGTGTTTATATCCCAAAACCTGACTGTTGTATCACCAGAGCCACTTGCAAGATGTCTGTAAAAATAATATTCCCCATAATAACCATGAAATCTTTAGAGCCAATAGGAAAGGAAAACAAAATAAGTAATTTTGCACAGTTATTAAGTTTCTAACAGGCACTGATTTTTGTATGTTTAGAGCAAATCACTTTCTGTCTCAAAAGCCCAAGCAAAAATTTGCTTTTTAGGAAAGAAAGCTAAAACATTCATCAAAATCAGGAATGATCTTAACTTAACATTGCAGCATGAAAAATGCCTACTGATTACTTTCTTACATAAGGATTATCTGAAATCTTCCATTGGCTTGTCATGTGAAACAGGCTAGAAAAAGCTAGCTTTAACAATGTTCAGATATATTTGCCCAGGAAAAAGTCTATCAAACAACCAACTTTGGCTTTTCATGTGACTCAATTTCTAAACAGTGTCAAATTATTTACCTTCCATCTGGGCTAAAGCCAATAGAAATTACAGCTTCAGAATGACCTAAAACAAATCATATTTGCACCTAAAGGATTCAGTTGATCAACTGTAATGAACACAATTCTGTTAAAGTAGTTAAATAAAAATGGAATCAAATCCTGAAGTCACATGTCAGGAAGTCAGAAGTCAGGAAGACATTATTAAAAGACCTTGTTTATTTTAGTAGGAATTTCTTTATGAGCATTCAATTAATTAGTACCAAAAGTACAAATTTGTCGTGGTAATCAAATAAAACACCATAGACAACCTCAGATGGCAAAAACCGTCAAATTGAGGGGTCCAATTCGAGAATATACGGTAGCAGTGGGGGCTTATTCGAGGGGGGCTTATTAACAGTTTGTAGTTTTAGAGTGAGGCTTATTTGAGGGGGGGGCAATTAGAGGATTTACGGTATCCACAGAGGAACTATAATTTGTAAGAATATGTAAAATGTCTAGCTATAAACACTACACAGTATAACTAAGATATTTCTAAAGAAATCTGTTTGATGGGCTTTGGGTCGAGACTTCCTTTGAAAAATCATTGTCCAAATAAATATTAAAATAATAATATCAACAATATTGACTGTTTGTGGTAAAATTTTTGAATAGTAAAAAAAGTGGATGGTAAGAAAGTGTTTTCTGAGTTCTTAACACTAAAATCATATTATGGAAAAAGTTTATTGGTTACAGGGATAAAGAGGGGTTGTGTGCATAGACACACTACCATCAATGATACTATTGATGTAAAGTTTAAAATATGTGATTTATCAATGCCCTTGAGTCTGGAGTTACCTCTGGCTAAGACAGATAAACCAATGAACAAAATAAAAAAAATGATTTATTGCCTTAGACTTGCAGTGGCAGAATCCTATAGAATGATATACAGGAGGAGGTATAATCAATAAGAATACAAATACAGAGTTCAGTTGAGACTCAGTTCTTGCCTACCTGGTATGGTACTCGTGCATCTTGTCACTGCTCTAACCTTGAATACAGCCTGTGGCTGGTAAACAATTTCCAAAACTTTCTCAGTTTCAACATCTTCTTTTTCCAGAAAAGAATCAAGACTTTCAACTAATTCTTTCTCATTAACAAAAAATGAATACGGTATTTTTTCTTCCTAAAAACAAAATGAGAAAGTTACTTACTACTCCTTATAAAAAGTTGGGTTCTGCAGTTTATAATTGATGACTTCAAACGTTTTAGGATCACAAGATTTCTGGCTTACATAAGAACCTGTTTGAGATTAGAAAACAAAACAAATTTTCCTTACTTCATGTATCATGGAATGAAAGTTTTTATTACTTCATGCTTCATCAGAAAATTGAAAAAAGAACTGATCATGTTTCGAAAAATACCTTTGTCAGCCTGATATTTCAACCCTTGATATACAACAATGTTAAAAACAAATGTTTTATTTGTGGAAAAATGGGGGTAATGATGGAGATTATAATCAGAGAGGAATGAAATAAATATTATGTATGTAGCCCAAGAGGAAAAGAAAGCAGGTGTGACTTTGTTTCTATTTATCACAGGTTCATTTTCCTGTTGATTCTCAAAAAAGCAAAGATAATGCAATCTGTCTTAAACTTACTGTAGTTTTATGTATTAAATACACGAAATGAGTTTTATGGATATAAAATGAAAGAGTAGCTATTATGCAGAAATTACTGAATGATATAAAATGCATATGAAAAGATTGAGTGAAATGATATGATATCATAAGATATGATATGTTGAGCTATATGCTAATCCTTGTGCTGTGATTTTAAAATATTCTTCATGCAATGCTCTCATGTCAAAGAACTTCAAAAATTGTTGCCCAGTTTTAAGCTCTCTGATTAAATGAATGCATTTGAGAATAGAGAATGGCAATCTGTATGACAGTCACATTCAAAGATTGTAATAAGAGCAAATAATCAGGCAACAATTCCTAAATTCTAAATACCAAATACATAAAAAACTTTCTATCTGAAACCACCTTTAACAAATCAGTTACACATCTGGTTGTGCTTTGTTGTGGCAGAGAGGGCCTCAAGATTAGCTTGACAAATGCCTACAATTAACTTACATTTTGTAGCAATGCATTACAAATCAACTGCAATTTTTCTGGTGTGACATCAGTTGGCAGGTCAAATGGTGCACATGGGGAATTCCCAAACTCATCTTTTAGTTGTGCAAGCAACCGTCTATCATTTTTTGTTTCACTGAAAAAGAAAGGATGCTTGAAGACATGGGGGTTGTTAAGATTTTGGCATAAGAGGAGCCAAATTTTTTTATAAACATATAGAAATTACTATATCAAAAATAACATTCATACATATGTAGGTAACATACAAACATGATTGAGATGGTTAAGAGGCAACATGTGCTAATTCTTTGATTTAATACAACTATACATTGCAATATACACATTGTGAATATTTGTTCCACGATCTGCAAACATTTTGGTTTCTGGGACATACTAGAATATTTAGGGGGTCCTAGGCCCCCTGCCCCCTTTTTGGCCCCTCAGCTTGAAGAATTGGGCGGCAAAATCTCAAGAACATAGACTCAATCACTTTGAAAGAGGCCAAGGTGAAATGAGTGCTAGTAAGAAATGTAAACTAATGAAAAAAATTTGAATTTTCCTTTAAGATAGAGCAGCTGACCTAGGTTTCTATTTGCAATGCCTTCCTTGAAGACAACATCATAGAAAATAATTCCAAAAGTATGAATAATGGTAGGGAAAAATGGATTCTTGACTCACTAATTTGATGTAGAAGCTTCCAAATAAGTTTTTTTTGTTTTTTGGAAAAGGAAGAACCAAAATTATTGATAACCAATAGGTCTTACAAGTCTCAAAATAATGCCCCACTCGTTTTAAGACACTGCCACTTGTTGTCTTAACTACCAAAACATATAAATAAGAACCAGCTCTAAAAAGATTGTTATGTTACATTGCATACAATTACGTTGTAGTAAAATGATATTTCAAATGTTTTCCATCGAGATATATTGATCCATTTTCAACTTGTTCTCTTGCAATAGTTTCCAAAGTAGCACTTCTTATTTTTAAAAGCTGGTTGAGTTCTAAATAAATTCTAGTAGGAAGGTAGCTGACTTTTACAACCAAATGTTTTTTGCTTTTTGCTTGACTCAATATGTCTCTATAAATGATTATATGGTTGCAATTTTGAAATTCACCAAGCACATCTAGCCCTAAACTTAGCTATTGGCTAACATTAGGTGTAAGCAAGAGATCTTTTGCCAATAAAGAAATTGCTACTTTGTAATATTTCTAATATCAAGCACTTAAGCATGAACCAGTATTAAAGCTTTGTGTTCTACTTATATTGTCTTCTCTGTAAAGTGTTTTTAGCAGTTTTGGACAACAATAAGTTCTCTTGTGAAATTAGTAAGTTGTCAATGAATTATAAATATTATTCAAAACAAATTATATTTAGTGTGGATATAAAAGGCAAGGGAGAGGATGCAAAAACTTTTTTATTACAATTTTATTTAAAAACAACTCTGCCTGTGGAAAGACCATTATAATGTGGTAGATGTATCCAAAAATTGTTTTCTTTACTTGTTTAGCTATACAACATTTTTCCTTATTTGAAAACTCTTCAACTCCAATTTCCTGTACAGAAGCCTTCAATTACTCTCAAAGCTGCAAATCTAGGTTGCATAAATATAATAACAACATTACTTCTAGGTTGCATAAACTTTTCAAACCAAATTTTAGATAAATTTTATCCTCAAGCCAGTCCTCTGTAACTAGTATCATGAGACAAAAGAAAAAATATGATTAGATTCAGTATTTGGAGAACGTCGTTTCTAAAAGACTGAACACTCCAAGAACAGGCTGAACACCCCAAGAACACCCCAAGAACACCCTAAGAACAAGCCATTAAGCCGCTGAACACCCTTTAAAACATATCAAAATCGGCATGTCATTCGAAAAATAATTTGATCAATCAATCAAAATTAATTTTGGGGCGGGAAAGGACCTGATAAGTCTAATGCTGTTGGTGTTGTTACAACCAACTGATGTTTTGCGCGCCAGAAGTGTGAACGGGGGTTTGTACACGCGGAGCAAATTCGAGTTTGACTCCCTTTGTGCATTCAAGCAAATTCCCGTTGTTTTGAAAATCTTTCACATCCTGTGACAATGTAAAAATACGACATGTCACTTGACTACCTATTGTCTTCCAAACAATTGTTCTTCCCGTCCGCTAATTTGCCCAAATGGTCACGCTATGCTAGTGCACGCTAGCTAGTTACTAGTTTACCAGTGCAAGCAGAACGAGACACAGCTCCTCTCTTGACGTCTCCAGCGGGTGCACTCGCAGGCTGGAGAGGTTTTTTATAAGGAATTTTTCGACAAATGAAACAGAAAATGCACAGTGTTGGACTTGTTAGAGGGTAGCAGCAGGACCACAGTTTGCGACTTAAAAGAGGGCTTAGGAGGGGCACATTTTTGGGGCCCGTGCTCGAATGGGGTCATGATAATCTCACTAAATCCTCGAATTGGCCCCCACCCTAGAACTACAAATTATTAATAAGCCCCCACTGCTGCCGTTAATGCTCGAATCGGACCCCTCAGTTTGCTGGTTTTTGCCATCTAAGGTTGCCTTTGGCGCTTTTTCTTAAGTACCGCAAAAATTCATACTTTTGGTAATAATTGATTAAATGCGCATAAAAAATTACTACTAAAATAAACGAAATCTTTTAATAATATCTTCTTAATGTCTTCAATAATTTTATAAGCCCCTCCCCTCGTATAAGTCGAAGAACCCACCTGGAATAAGCCCCCATACAAAAAATATCAAAAATGAATAAGCACCCATGGGGGCTAACTCGAGGATTTACGGTATGTATGTGGCAGAAATTGCGTTGGTTTTGGGGCAAACGCCCCCAAGCTTTTGCTTAGTCGTCGGTTAAGGCACAGTTTTAAGCGCTTTTATCGGAAAACTGTTTGTTTTTGTGGGTGTTGCGGTTCCTCTTACCTTCCTAGGCAACTATATATTGTAAAAATTATTAGTTACATGGACTGATATAGAAACTGTAGCTAACCTGCAAGATGAAGTTTTTCCTCCAATGGAAGTTTGACTCCAATGCACAAAGGGAGTCAAACTCGAATTTGCTCCGCGTGTACAAACCCCCGTTCACACTTCTGGCGCGCAAAACATCAGTTGGTTGTAACAACACCAACAGCATTAGACTTATCAGGTCCTTTCCCGCCCCAAAATTAATTTTGATTGATTGATCAAATTATTTTTCGAATGACATGCCGATTTTGATATGTTTTAAAGGGTGTTCAGCGGCTTAATGGCTTGTTCTTAGGGTGTTCTTGGGGTGTTCTTGGGGTGTTCAGCCTGTTCTTGGAGTGTTCAGTCTTTTAGAAACGACGATTTGGAAAAGCTAAAATTAGGCAGAGAGACACAGTTGTGTTAGAAGCTTTTTTGCTGTCTTTTAGGTCAAATCAAAATAATCCTTAAACACAAACCAATTTTTTTGCATTGATATAAATTATGGCAAAACATTTGCCTGTGGAATTGGAAGTCCATTGGGATTTACCATTACATTGATAGAAGAAATCCTCTGCAACTATCTACTGACAACTGACAGAAGTTCTCAGCTACTTCTTTCATTTTCATTTTATCTGAAAGGTCTAATGTCATGTGTAGCTTCTTTATTGACTCATACAACTGTTGGAATTATGATGATGACATTTACATTGCTACGTTTTTAGTTACCCCGTCACAAGTACAATGGACACCTATTTGTTTAATTGATTGACGTGTTGTTGCAAGCAGTAATACTTCTATTGTTCCATCGTGTAGCACGATGTTCCGCAGTAAAGTCTTCCTGTTGTTGTTTATATAAATTTCTGCATTGAAAAGGTTTTGTTTGTTTATTTCTCTTTCTTAAAAGAGCCAAAAGTCTGCAGAATTCTAACAGCAATTGCATTTGTTTTAATGAAAATAAACACTTTAGTGGATTAAATTCAATTTTTAAAGTTTTCTCGTCGCACTTATCTGCCAACTATTAAAAAGTCTGTTTCAAAATAAGTCTTCATAAGATCCATAAAAAATTCTTACCTTTCCATGGTATGTCAATTTACGTTGTTAACCCTTTCTATCAACAATTTTTAAATTGGCCGGCTTGAAATGACCATGTGACAAGTTACCATTATGGATCTACCTCTTTTCCGTCTAATTTCCTTCGCAACAACGCAACAACGACTCAGAGATCACTAACCCCAATAAAATACTTAGGGGAGAGTTTTAGAGAGATATTGCCATGTTTGGCAAGGTGGGGGTCATAAAAAAGCAAAAATCTTCTGTTCCGCCCAATTTTTAACTAAAATTTGCTGTTCCGGTCATTTTAGCCAAAATTCCGCGTCCAAAAAATGTCGATAGGTGCTCCTGACCAGAAATACCAAGATTTGACCAGGTTCTTTTTCACAGAATAAACAGGCCCATAGACACTGGATAAACTGGATTATAGGGGCATGGATAGAAATATAGCTTTTTCTATACCTGCCTTACGAAAAACTGTCAGATCAAGCTTATAAGATCTGTTCTAAGATCTCCAAACACAATTTTCGCAAATTATGGGTATGTTGCCCCCCCCCCCCTGCCAACCCTGCCACCAGTGTTTGCGAGCCTAAGAATAACAGGTGAAAAATTTAGAAAGTCTATCAAAGCTTCTAAAAATACCGAATTCCGTGCATCTTTTGCGATAAAATCCGTGTTCGTTAAGTGTAAAGGATTCCGTTGTCCCGTCAATAAATTGCCAGATTTCTGTTATCCACAACAAATTTTCATCAAAATCCGTTGTTCCACAAACTCTTATAACCCCCAACGGTATTGGCAAGCAGAAATACCCATTTTTAACATAGCTCAAAAAAATTTTGCCCTTCAAATGAAGAAAAAGGAATCGAAGGGGGGCTTTCTGGGGGGGTGATCAGAGAATCTCTAGATTAGAGACCCAATGTATTGAAGGGGCCGTGGACGAAAAGGTGACAGGGGCGGCGCCAGAAATAGAAAGTGGGGGGGGGGCTCTAATTGACAGCATTATTAGACTAAAAAATCAACTTTTTAGAATCGTACTAAAATGCTTCACGATAATTCATGCCCATGATTTTATGGGGCACTCGTTATGCGGTACATTGGAAGGACCGACGAGAGAATGTCGAGCGAGATCCATGGGTATATTTCAAAGAAGTGGCTTCCTTGCGAGCAGAAAATTTTTTGCAGCCACGCCCTTTAGATTAGCTTAAAATATATTTTAGAACATTTCTTTTAGTCACTTTTTGGTACCATTTTTAATTAGGATTGATTAATTCCAGTCTGAAAATGGAATTCATTACTTTATGAGGAACTATAGACCTTGACTATTTCTTGAGAAATTAGGAAATAAAAGGATTTATCGCACTATTCTTTTCTTCCATCTTAGCTGTGCCCCGATTAATTGTACTAGATTTTATCTTTTAATTTTTCTCCCTTCCATTGTATTTTTCTAGTACCTTTCAAATTCATTTACAACCGTGTTTTTTTTCGTTTTCTCTTCACAACACTTTTTATCATAGTTTTTTGCCTATGGCTTTGTCTATTATTGACCAAACCAACATTTGCCCTATAAATTTTTTTAGAAATTATTAGCATATATGTTTTAATGCTGTTTTATGTTACCTGCATAAAAAGGCTGCTAGCAGTAAAAATTACTTCTAGGAACAATTTTTAATTTTTGCCTCTTTTTAAAATGTGATAATTTCCTGCACCTGAAGTTCGAAGTGCTTCCAAACCTTTTTAGGGTTACGAAAAAGGACTTCTTACATCATCTTTATGTCCATGAGCCAACGAATATAAAATAGAATACTGCTGTAAGTCCTAATGTCTTTTGGTTCAAATTTAAAATTTTTCCCGAAGAATCTCATTGCAATGATCTACAGAAAAGACGACCTCAAGTGAAAAAACACAGACATTCCTTGAACGGAAAATTGTTGGCCATTTGATATTAAAACACAAGTATATAAAATTTTTTAAATCCTTCAAATAAAATATATTTAGTATAAAAATATAATAGTTAAAACGCCTTTGAACAGCAGATATCTTTAATAGATCGTTACATAACTTGAAATTATTGTGTGTTGTGTTTCTTAAATGTAATAGAAAAAAATCCAATCCAGATTTGTTGCAATGGTTATTCTTATGCATATCGCTTTGAACAGAAAAAAATTAAGACAACTTGACTCTAAAGGGCCTAAATAAGTAACTGAAAGCTGGGTAAGGTCATCTATACACAATACGGGAGAGGAAATTTGTCTCCAAAACAGGATAACGAAAAACAATTTAAGAAGGAAGAATTGTTGCTAAAAATTAAAAGGGCATAAAATAGGCGCTTCTTGTTTTATATCGACCCAATTTCAGTAATTAATCTTATGCTGCAAGGTAGGAATGCGAATCGCTTACTTAAATAACTCTATATTTCCATTCTAAACCAGCGAGCTACAACCGTTCTTACTTCGCTGTAACTGTTCTAACTATAGCTAGAACTTCGCTTTGAACAGACAGGCCTTTCGCATACCATCACTTAGAAGTACGAATTTATAAAATAATTGTCGTTCGATTGAGATTAAGTGTTAGCAACTGTTTATAACAACAGCTTAATTTCTCAATTATTAAATACTCATTTTATTTATTAGTTTTGTCTTGCATCCTAATTGACGAATAAGCGTAGCAGCAAAGCAAAAAGATACAATACAATATCACAACATAACTCTAATACAATAAGTTACATAGGGAAGCAATGTTTCTTATAAAAATATTTACGTTCCAAGCGTCTCTGACTCTGAATTGCCACAGGAGCTGAGCACACTCTCCAGTTGTCTTGATTTTAGTGTCAACAACTCTTGATGCGGCAGCACACTGATTTGGCCCAAAATATTAATGTTTTCATTATCACAATGCCTGCTCAGCTTGGTGATTGGTTTTTGTCTCCAATGTGATAGCTGTACGTCAAATATTTTGTTTTGATATTATTCGGACGAGCTTGTTCCTACCTTTTATTACAGAAACCGCAAGTGCTTTGGCAGTACCTTGCCATTTCCCTCCATCTTGACGTACAGAGACCTTTCCTCTTCCAGTCAATACACAATATACCAATTTTATCTTCACACTTTGAACCACCTTTGAAAGCAATTATTGATGCATTTGTTAAAAGCTCCTAGGGAAGACACTTAAGGAGTAGGAAATTTTGGCATGATGTTGAGAAAGTTTCCAATAGGATTCGCCAATTGCCCTGTACCAGAAAACAAAGAGGCACACTGGAAATCAATTGCTACTCAAGCAGGGGCGGACACTTGCTCAAATTTGGGGGGGGCAAGCCTATTGCTTTATAAGATGATGTCATATTTTCCCATTGTTTTAGAACAAAAGATCATTGCATTCCAAAATATTGGGGGCGACCATCCCCTCGCCCCCCCCCAGGTGTAAGCCACTGCACTCAAGTACACTTACAGTAACGTAGCAAAGTATTTGTATCATTTGTATTTGCGAAAATAATTCGTAGCTAGTCGTTTTCTTCGCATAAAAGAATCGTTAAAACATAAAAAATGAATAATTCTGCCCCTTTTTGTAAAACTTGATTAAGACCGTCTTAGCTTGATCGTGAAAAAAACTTGCTTTACAAAAAATGTAACTCCTACTATAAACAAATGCAATGAAATGACAATACTTACCAGTTTCACATTTTTCGGCACATTTACTTGGTGTATCGAAATTATTTTCGTTGCCCCCACAGCCGGAGTACCTGAATATATCGCACCGCCCAGCAACTGCATTGTAATACCATCTTACCATCGTTCCTTTTTGGCAATATCCTTTGACAGCAGGCATATTGCAGATTGATTCATAAACTGTTAAAAAGGCAAAATGTTGTAAAAGGACTGCTTACTGATTTTTCTTTAGTCAATAATCTTACTGGCTTATGTGAGTAGCAAAGAAAACCTTGTTCTATAACCTCAAGAAATAGCCTGGTAAAGAAACGGGGGTATTGCTTCTTATCACACCTTGTTTATACCTTGTGGATACAAATACACTCTTTTTTTCATGAACCAGTAAATTTAAGCTCAGACTGACAGTTCTTAATTTTTTTCGAAAATCTGAGGCTGGATTGTTCTTGTTTTGTTCTTAAAAAATTCAGATCAAGCTAAAGCTGAGCTTCTGCAAAATGCAATGCTTACACTCGCACTGCTTACACCCTATTGAATCTTTTGAAGCATTTCACATGCATAAGTACAGCGAATCCAAAAATAACTTAGGCAAAATTGATCAGAGCACGCGCACAAGAAAGGTATTGAAACCGCTTACGTGAAACCACTGCGCGCTGCTCTAGGATTTCACCGATTTGCAGAAAGGCGGAAACTATTCACGTGTTTTTCTCTGTACGCAATTTGATTAGTCAACCGCTCGTGGTCGAGTGGCTGTAAGTCACTTTTACCTGTGTCAAATGCCTTTAATTCAATAGGGTGTAAGCAGTGCGAGTGCTAGCTTGTTCGCTCTAGGGAGATAGTCAGGCCTCATTTGCCAACAAAGTGAGCGAGACGACCTTCAATTGCCGACAGGTTTGAATATTCACCAAAAAAGCACCTACACATTGCTAAATATCCTCGATTTTGAGAAAAAACGTTGTTCAAAATTGCATTTAGCAGTAGCTCAGCTTTAGCTTGATCTGAATTTTTTCTTAACTTTTGACCATTTTTGAGGCTCGTGTTCTTATAAATTGTTTTTATAAAAAAGTGTACCATAAGACGGGTTATGGGAGAGGATGTTTCATGAAATACCCCTTGGGTCCTAACTTTTTTTTAAAGCTTGTTTTTATTAAAAGCATCTAAAAGAAACAAAGTATTTCCATTCTTACTTCGCTGGTAACTTACATTCAAAGCATAGCAAAATTTGTAAGACCAGCTCTGTTAATACAATTCTGTAGGACTGAAACTAAACTTTCCTTAACGTACCTGGACATCCAGCCTGGTTTGGACCTTTCGCAGGCGAAAACCCATCCTCGCAGCACCCATAGTCACCGATGCAACCTGGGATGAACTTTGTCTGCAGTTCTATACTGCCAGTCTCTCCAGATAACTCTTTAGCATGCGCTGGTTGGTAGTCCTTGCATTTTTCCATGCAGGATTCATAGCTTTGGTAATTGTTCTTATTACCAAAGCAACCACCCCAAATGAAGCTATTGCAGATTTGCAGTCTTGCGTTGTAATACCATCGGGTTATTCTGGCACCACAAGGGCCTTTTGCTTTTGGATATTCACAACGGTGCTTGTAAACTGAAGAAAATCAGGAAGCTTCATCAGAGGCATTAAATTTGCTATTGAGCAGCTGCATTATGTAATTTATGTAACATGCGCTTGAAAGTGCAACAACAGAGCAAATATATTGAAATATGACAATACACAAGTGTCTTTTCACTCCAAGAGTGTCTCGAGTCAAAAGTGTCTAGCAAACACAAACGATTTACTAACACACTCGAAAGCGCCACTGTGACGATGCTAATCCTTCTACTGATGGTCAGGGATAATGGAGACAGAAAAATGGAGTAAAATGGGCAAATCTGCCCTTTAAAAACAGACATACGGCATCAAAATGGAGTGTGAGGAACTAAAAGATGCCAGCATTACACATTAAATAAAACTTGCTCTGCTAGCGAGAAAGAAGTTGATAGCGAAATACGAAGCAATTGATGACAATTTTACGATGGCGTCTGGGATATAACATGAACGAAACGCCTCACGATACCTGGGCAGCCCGCCTGGTTTGGCCCTTTTGCTGGCGTCACGTAGTCCTCACAACAACCATATTCACTATTGCATCCAGGGATTTTCTTCACCGTTTTTGACTCTATTTTCTTTGCAACAGGTACTGTCGTCCTCAATGAGACTGGATCCCTACATTTGCTCACGCATTCTTCAGCAGACTCAAAATTGTTACCGTTGCCTCGGCAACCACCATACATAAATGCCACACAGTCTTTGACGCTTGGGTCATTACTATAGTAATACCGAAGCTTTCGGCCTTTGCAAGGTCCTGGATCCGCCGGCAAGAAGCACGCTGAAAGAAAGCATTTCTTAATTTCAACTTTGACAAATAACGGAAACCAAGGCTGAATATGTTTGTACAGAACTAGTATTTTCCAAAACATTAGCGTAAAAATGTTTTACTGTGTCCACCAAGGGTGGGAGTTATTACTTTTTTCAGTCCTAGAGAGAGGGCTTAAATTTTTTTAATATAAAATGCGATGCAAATGTTCTCGAAAAAACCTTGCTGTCAGCTTCAAAAGCTTAGTAAAATTAATCAATTGTAATGTCCTCATCTTCATCAGAATCACCAGGATTAATTGATAATCCTGAAACATTTTCTAAACAAATTTTGTCCTCTGGGAATCCTACAAAAATATCAATGTTCAACAGTATCTTTTTGACTGCTAAGGTGCACATGCAAATTTTTATATTATCACATTCGTCATCACATTATCACAATCACATTCGTCAAGAGACCTACTCAACGCGCATGTTTTCTTTGTTTGACATCAAGGGTGAAAGAGGGGGGCTTTATAGACAGAGGGCTTATTATAAGCTTTTGCATGATGAGGGGGACTTAGTAGAGAGGAGATTTAATAGAGATGGGGCTTGAAAGAGAAGGGGGCTATATAAAGCTTTTACGGTTTTTCTAAAAAAGTTGGAAAATTACAAATTTCGTACCAGATATATGGTGGGCTGTCGCTTTAGTCGTTGGTCCTGGAGCTTTCGTAGTTGCTTCAGTCACTGGTTCAGTAGCAGGTGATGTTCTTGAAGGCTCTGGAGCACTCGTCGTTACTTCCTTGACAGTGTCAGTAGTTGGTGGTTCTTGAGCACTGCCTGATCGCTTAGTTGTTGGTTCAGTAGTAGGTAATGTACTTGGCAACCTAGGAGCAATTGTCTTTATTTCCTTCACTGCTTCGGTCGTTGATGGTTCTTGAGCTACGGTAGTTGCTACACTGGGTAGAGTCGTGGGAACTGGTACCAGAGCTTCTGTAGTTGCTTCAACAACAGGAGCAGTTGTTACAGGTTCTGGAGCGTCTGTAGTTGCTTCAACAACTGGAGCAGTTGTCATAGGTCCTGGAGCATCTGTAGTTGCTTTAACAACAGGAGCAGTTGTTACAGGTCCTGGAGCATCTGTAGTTGCTTCAACAACAGGAGCAGTTATTACAGGTTCTGGAGCGTCTGTAGTTGCTTCAACAACAGGAACAGTTGTTACTGGTTCAAGAGCTTCTGTAGTTGCTTCAACAACAGGATCAGTTGTTACAGGTTCTGGAGCGTCTGTAGTTGCTTCAACAACAGGAACAGTTGTTACTGGTTCAAGAGCTTCTGTAGTTGCTTCGACAACTGGAGCAGTTGTTACAGGTTCTGGAGCGTCTGTAGTTGCTTCAATAACTGGAGCATTTGTTACAAGTTCTGGCGTTTCCGTAGTTACTTCGACAACGGGAGCAGTAGTTACAAGTTCAGGAGCGTCTGTAGTTGCTTCAACAATTGGAGCAGTTGTTACAGGTTCAGGAACTTCTGTAGTTGCTTCGACAACAGGAGCAGTTGTTACAAGTTCTGGAGCTTCCGTAGTTGCTACAACAACAGGAGCAGTAGTTACAGATTCAGGAGCGTCTGTAGTTGCTTCAACAACTGCAGCAGTTGTTACAGGTTCTGGAGCTCCTGTCGTTGCTTCAATAACTGAAGCAGTTGTTACAAGTTCTGGAGCTTCCGTAGTTGCTTCAACAACAGGAGCAGTAGTCACAGGTTCTGGTGCGTCTGTTGTTGCTTCAACAACTGGAGCAGTAGTCACAGGTTCTGGAGCTCCTGTCGTTGCTTCAATAACTGGAGCAGTTGTTACAAGTTCTGGAGCTTCCGTAGTTGCTTCAACAACAGGAGCAGTAGTCACAGGTTCTGGTGCGTCTGTTGTTGCTTCAACAACTGGAGCAGTAGTCACAGGTTCTGGAGCTCCTGTCGTTGCTTCAATAACTGGAGCAGTTGTTACAAGTTCTGGAGCTTCCGTAGTTGCTTCAACAACATGAGCAGTAGTCACAGGTTCTGGAGCGTCTGTTGTTGCTTCAACAACTGGAGCAGTTGTTACAGGTCCTGGAGCTTCTGTAGTTGCTGCAACAACTGGAGCAGCTGTCACAAGTTCTGGAGCTTCCGTAGTTGCTTCAGCAACTGGAACAGTTATTACAGGTTCAGGAACTTCTGTAGTTGCTTCGACAACAGGAGCAGTTGTTACAAGTTCTGGATCTTCCGTAGTTGCTCCAACAACAGGAGCAGTAGTTACAGGCTCAGGAGCGTCTGTAGTTACTTCAACAATTGGAGCAGCTGTCACAAGTTCTGGAGCTTCCGTAGTTGCTTCAGCAACTGGAACAGTTGTTACAGGTTCAGATACTTTTGTAGTTGCTTCGACAACAGGAGCAATTGTTACAAGTTCTGGAGCTTCCGTAGTTGCTTCAACAACAGGAGCAGTAGTTACAGGTTCAGGAGCGTCTGTAGTTGCTTCAACAACTGGAGCAGTTGTTACAGGTTCTGGAGCTCCTGTCGTTGCTTCAATAACTGGAGCAGTTGTTACAGGTTCTGGAGCTTCCGTAGTTGCTTCAACAACAGGAGCAGTAGTCACGGGTTCTGGAGCGTCTGTTGTTGCTTTAACAACTGGAGCAGTTGTTACAGGTCCTGGAGCGTCTGTCGTTGCTTCAACAACTGGAGCAGTAGTCACAGGTTCTGGAGCTCCTGTTGTTGCTTCAATAACTGGAGCAGTTGTTACAAGTTCTGGATCTTCCGTAGTTGCTTCAACAACAGGAGCAGTAGTCACAGGTTCTGGAGCGTCTGTTGTTGCTTCAACAACTGGAGCAGTTGTTACAGGTCCTGGAGCGTCTGTTGTTGCTTCAACAACTGGAGCAGTAGTCACAGGTTCTGGAGCTTCTGTCGTTGCTTCAATAACTAGAGCAGTTGTTACAGGTTCTGGAGCGTTTGTCGTTGCTTCAATAACTGGAGCAGTAGTCACAAGTTCTAGAGCTCCTGTCGTTGCTTCAACAACTGGACCAGTAGTCACAGGTTCTGGAGCTCCTGTCGTTGCTTCAACAACTGGAGCAGTAGTCACAGGTTCTGGAGCGTTTGTCGTTGCTTCAATAACTGGAGCAGTAGTCACAAGTTCTAGAGCTCCTGTCGTTGCTTCAACAACTGGAGCAGTAGTCACAGGTTCTGGAGCTCCTGTCGTTGCTTCAATAACTGGAGCAGTTGTTACAGGTTCTGGAGCGTCTGTTGTTGCTTCAACAACTGGACCAGTAGTCACAGGTTCTGGAGCTCCTGTCGTTGCTTCAATAACTGGAGCAGTTGTTACAGGCTCTGGAGCGTCTGTTGTTGCTTCAACAACTGGACCAGTAGTCACAGGTTCTGGAGCTCCTGTCGTTGCTTCAATAACTGAAGCAGTTGTTACAGGTTCTGGAGCGTCTGTTGTTGCTTCAACAACTGGACCAGTAGTCACAGGTTCTGGAGCTCCTGTCGTTGCTTCAATAACTGGAGCAGTTGTTACAGGTTCTGGAGCATCTGTAGTTGCTTCAACAACCGGAATAGTTGTTTTTGGTTCAGGAGCTTCTGTAGTTGCTCCATTAACTGCAGTAGTTTTAGCTGTAGGTTTTGGTGATACTGCAATAGTTTTGTTTCCTGCAGCAAAGGAGTGTTTCTATTCATATTGTACAGCTGTAGCTTTTCGGCAAGTTATATTGTACATGTGTTACCTACTTTTACTTTTCAATTAGCCAGTTGCCCAAGAGCTTCATTCAAAAATTGACAGAAAACGATTTTAACTGAAAACTATTATATTTAGAAAAATACTTAAATTGTCTCTTTTTTTTCCATATCAATCTAAAAGCAAGTTCCAATATCTAGCAGGTCCATTCCTGGTTGTTATTTCGAAATATGATTTTATTGCCTCTCAGTGTTAATCTTAACATGTGAATTCGTTATAGCAATATCGGTTTTGATACCTAATCAATACACTTAAAAATAGACCCCTAATCTAGATCTAAAAGATGCAACAGTTTGAAAATTATCTTTCGGTAATCAAAAACAAGTTGCATCTTCTTAATTCTTTGGGAATCAGAAAAGCATTATAAAACCTTAGTTATTCCACGTAGATGTTACCTTCAGAACAGAGTGGCCTTGAAGTCGTCTCCGTACCATTGATCGTATCCCCATTTTTGTCAACACACCAGCAATTCTCTTTCCAACACTGTACAGGATTGAAAGAACCATCTATCCGGCATTTGGGTACAAATACAAGAGATTTTTCTACCAATTCCTTCAATATATCGATTGCTTTTTTCCTTGTTTCTTCACAATTGGTAAGGTTGTTCAAGACGACTAGAAAATTAACATTTTCTTTTAAAGATACAAAAAGTCTTCATACCTTTACCAACTAAAAATATTTAATGCTTAAAAAAGAAATTCGATAAAAATAGAAAACAGACTAGGCATTCCTATTTATTCCCATTAATAAAAACCATTGTAGCATTTGAGCTATTGCATACGGGGAAGGTTATGTTGCAAAAAGTCACTAAGATTGCAGATAAAACCGCGGGATCTTATTTCTAGAAATTTATATTTTATTTATACTCATCTCAAAGATGGCATCATCACCAAGCGGAACAGCAGCTTTGGTGGTAGCATGGAAAAACAGTTACAAAGTGTAGTCATGAAAGTACTAGAAAATATCTATGGACAACTCAGTTTTGACTATAGAAAATGATACTAGCTAAGAGAGACTAAGGCCCTTGCTTTTTCAATAGAACTCTCTTGCTGTACCATCTAAAACTGTGGCTAAGGCATTGCTGGGGCTTAAACATAGCTTCTACAAATGGCATCTAAAAAGCATTTATTGAAAGCAGCCCGAGAAGTGAACTGTACCTTAGAGATATCTCTTTAAACCACCAATGGCTGCGGATACATAGAAAAGCAGACGACAAATACCAATGGTGAAAAATTCTATCGATTCTAAAGAGATAACTTACGTCTATTGCACTGAGGTTTTCCTTCCCTTGTTTTCGTATGGGCAATCTCTTCTCCATCTCTATCAACGCACCAGCAATATCCGGTAGAAGGATGGCATTGTACACTTTCAAAATCGCCCTTTTCCGTGCATTTCGGGACAAAGACACCAACAATCAGTATGGACGTGCCATTTTTGTTTGTTTGTTTGTTCTTTGCTTCCTTTGCTAGCAGCAGGCATTTCGTTTCCGCTGATTTGGAAAAGAAGAAATTGCAAATCTCAAATAAAATGTGATACTGGTAGATTCTGGCCCAGCATTCACGAGAAAAAACTTTCTAACTATTTTTGGAAATTTTCGAAAATAAAAAACAAAAAGATCTTTTTCATCAAAAAACAAAAAATCTTATATATGGGCTATGGGGGCAAGAAACAAATCAACCTTAATTGGTCAACCTTTAAACTAATGTTCCATAAATACAGCTAATGATGAAAGCTGGAGTATTAATTACCTTCAATCTGATTGTCGTTATTAAATTTTTGCTAGATCCGGGTCGGGTTCGAAGCACATGGTCACATCCCAAACATGGTCCCTTTACAGAAGTGCTAAGTTAAGCTGCATTTAAACTAAAGAAACTTCTACTCAAATTGCATTATCTGCAAATAGTAAAGTTATTAGATAGGTCAAATGATTATAAAGTTCAACTTACCGTTAGGACACTTGAATTTCTCGCCAGGAACATTAGGCTGCTTTTCTGAAACCCTAACTCCATCTTTATCCACACACCAACACCACAAACCTTTGCACTGAACTTTCTTGTAGCTGCCATCGGGTTCACATTGGACATCTGGATCCTTGCTACGTTCTGATATGCACAATCGACGCTTATCCAATGCTTGAAAACAAAAATATAACAATGAGCAAAGGCAGCCATAGTAGAACGTGGAAAAAATAATTTGCAATTTTAATATTTTATAAAAAATATGATTTGGAAAATCAACAGTTAATGAAGTGCTTAAAAGAACAACAGCAAAAGAAAAAGTGTCTTACATTCCTATGGAAAATTATACATAAAACTTGACAAGAATCGATTAAGGACAAAGCTATGTGGCAAATTTGTTTTGATAACTTCTGTAGGTGAACACCACTCTAATAACCCTCTTTGTACAAATACAATCTCTGTCAGCAAATGCACAAATTTCACCCTAACTCTTTACTATAAACCAATCAGAAATGCGGACATGCATAAGTTTCTCAACCTATTCAATGAATGTCAGTACCATCCAAATTTCCGTCCATTTCAAGACAGTCTAATTTTGCCAAAATCTACCAAACAGCACAACCCGTTGACGCAAACTAGATGAATACGTATTTAAGCAATACATACTGCCATCGCATTTCGGCTTTTGGTGTCGCAATCTCGTGTGCGGTATTTCTTTTCCGTCTTTGTTCACGCAGAAGCAGAAACCCGTAGAGCCATGACATTGCACTGGTGAAAAACTGCCATCCTCTTCACAAGAGGGAACAAACAATCCAGGAGGATAAATCACTACACCGTCTATCTTTATAGCACTTTTACTGGCCTTTTCTTGTTGCTTTTGACATTTGGAGAGGGACACGGCTAAATAAAACAAGAAAAGGTTTATGTTTAGTAAATGTGAACAGGCAAACGACAGCCTGTAAAGTTAGTCTCTGGGATCAAGACGATGCCATTCTGGGCATAAAATGCTTTTTATACGGCTTTCAAAGCTGTTCACTATACAAGCTCTATGGTTAAACTTTGATTGAACAATATTCGCCAAATTATATGCACATACACATAAATAGATATAAACAGTACCTCTCATAAACATAAAAATACTTCGTACGTTAAGCTGTTCACGCATAACAATTCTAGGCCAGATTTTCTAAACTTTATTGTATGCTAAGTAGTTCGACTTGCTTATTCACCGATTTGTTTGTGAGCGATTCACCAAAGTTGTGCAAACATCAAGAATTAAATTTGTTCAATGGTTACGAAGTTTAAAAATGAATAAAAGAAATAAACTTTTTCATGAATTAACTTCATTAAATGTTACTAGCTCTAGCACCAAGATAAACCTATTCCGCATAGTTTTCAACATATCTAAATCAACAATGAAGAAAAGTTGGTGATAGGATTAAAACTCACGTTCAGGACATTCTGGGATCCCTTCCTTGATTTGAGTTCCTTCTATATATTTCCCATCTTCATCAACACACCAGCATTCATTTATGAATCCGTTGCATTGAAAAACTTTGAAGTCTCCATTAGGTTTGCACTCTGGCAAGAATGCCTCTTGCGGCAGCTCGCCCTTTCCGTATGTATCCGCTCTAAACCGCTCGCATTTTGTCAGATTTCCGGCCAAAACTACGGAAGAGAATAAAACGTATCTTTGTCCATACGATTTCTCACTGCAGACGTGATATTGATTATTGCTAACTAGCTAACTGGACTGCTGCAAAGGGCTGAATATTATATAGACGGTGATATATATGGTAACGAGTGCAGAAAAGGGATTGTTTAAGTTGCTATTCCAAATTCCATGTTTAATACCATCATCAGGCAAATTGTATATATCTCTACATATAGAAAATGACTCTTTACCGGTCTGTCATAAAGTGTATAATGCTGTTTAGGCAGAGCTTTTACGCGCCTTGGTGCGTAGAAGAGGACGCCTTGGCAGCTCCGAGTTCAATGCTTAATGGGGTAATCAGGTAATTGTACAGAGGCGTGTTTAAATCTTAAATACTGTAGAAGGATTCCACAGAGAAGTGTTCCTTGAGAATATTATAGGCAAAATGAAATCAAAAATTATATGCAAAGTGACTTTGACTGAAGAATGACAAAAATGACAAAAGAAATTGACATGGTATAATTGGTTCATACGTCTGTCACACTGAAGGTCCTTGCTCGGATGCGTAAAGTCGATAGGTTTTTCGCCATTCTTGTCAACACACCAGCAGAATCTTTCTGAACCATGACACTGAACTTCTTCAAAATCGCCATTGGCTTTACATTTCGGAAGGTATGCTCCAGGAGCAACGACAGATCTCCCAACAAGAACAACTGCCATATTGAAGACATCTTGTCGTTTTTGTTGACACGGTGTATTGTTTCCTTTAATAATAAAATACATTTTAAACCTCTGCAAAACTAAACATGATTAAACGTACAAGGTAGACAAACGCAAGTGTTTCTGTTCGTATCTTATTGACGTATCTCCTTTTGAATGCATTTATTTTCACTATTCATAACATTTCACAACTGGTGAAGGACTTTTATACAACAGAATCCAGCCAAAGGGAATCGTCTTCTAATTATACTTAGATGATGCTAAAGCATGTGAAGATACATCTCCTTTTTTATCTTTATGAAAATTCAATGGATTCAAACAGTATCCATTGCATAGCAATAGCAAATTTCTAAAATTCTGTTCCTATAAATAGCAGTGGACTAAGTTGACATACTTGGAGTACAGTCCGGGTTTCCACCTTTGGTTTCTGATCCATCTATCATAGCGCCATCAGAATTGACGCACCAGCAGATATTCAAAAAGCCATCACATTGTTTTGGAACAAACTGGCCATTTAAGTCACAGTCAAATAAGAAAGCATCTTGTGGAGGGTTCAGAGGATCTTCTCCTAATTGTGCAAAATTTGCTTGTTCGCATTTTGTTAAATTGCCAGCGGAAACTTTTAACGAAAAAGAAAAAAAAGTTTATTGTTAAATAAAATGTCAAATGAAATGTTAAATGTGAATCTTTGTAAGTAACAGTGAAAATATATGCTGTTAAAGAAACAGAATCCTTAATCAATATATTAAATTCTTTTCTCGTTTGCTACATAAATTTCCTCAAGATCGATCAAGGCATCAGTTATATAGAGAAACCCTGTTAGAAAACCAATTGCTACACGCAGTGAAATTAGTCACGCGAAAACTTCTTAAAAATATGAACAAAAACAAATCAGGATCCTCAATTAAACAAAGAATTGCACAGAATTGGCTACCACAGCACAGAATCAGCTATCACAGAATTGCCAAACCGAACACAACAGCGAGGTAAAACCCAAACGGTGAAAATGAAAAAGCGTAGTGCTTGTAAGACCTACTTCTGTGGCACTGAGGCTTTTCAAGTCTTCTTGACGTTTTCGGAATCTCATGACCATGATTGTCTACACACCAGCAATATCCCGTTGAACTATGACATTGCATTTCCTCAAAGTCACCATTTTCTTTGCATTGAGGAACATACAATCCAAGTGGCAGTATGGGTCGCCCATCAACCACTGTTGCATTCTTATGCACCTCTTTTCTCTTTTGCTCGCAGATAGATAACGGCCCTAAAAGTCGTTCCGATAAATCATTGAATGCCTAATAGTCATTAAGTATCCTACAATCACGCTGTATATGAGCAAGGCCAAAAGACAGTGAGCCTGCGTGCAAACTTCACATGTCGCGAAAAAAAACGATCCGTCGCGATCAGCTGATACAGTTTCAGTCTGTCAGCAACCGTGACCAAGGCCAATGCAAACAGAACTGAAGTGCCACCTAAGCTCCGTCTTGTTTTCATTGTTTTCTTAGAAAGATTTCAGCGCTTAAAGCTATTGTCTGATGCAAAAATGGATACTTTTCTATGTATACGAAAAACACTGTATACCAAACTGAGTTCTTCTATCAGAAAATACTGGCTTTGAAGCAGCTTATAGTCTTAGAAAAGAGTGGGGCGTAGAATTGCCTTGTATTAGTAACAAAACATAGGCCATGATGCAAAACAGCATATCAATTGCTTGCTTCAGGGGTTTCAGTTACTTATGATATGTAAAGTGTTAGTTTGTTGTTTTGACTTTTTAGTCCAATTTTTTGGTATTTAAAAAGAAACCTTTCTAAAACTGCTTAAGAGTGATCTTAATTAAACATTCTAAAAAGAGTGGTTGAAATGAAGCTACATACTCTTGCGGCAGTCTGGATTTTCCCCAGTTACTTTTGTACCTTCTCGTTCAGCTCCATGATCATCAACACACCAGCATTCGGACTCATGACATTGAATCTGAGAAAAGCTTCCATCTTCTTTACAAACTGGTAAAAATGCACCAAGCAAGGGTACTGAAATGCCATCTGGACCGATAATTCCCCTGTTAAAGGCGTCTTGCCTCAAATTTTGGCATTTGGAAGTGTTCCCTAAAAATCGAAATACTTTAATCAGAAAAATTGTTTCTATAATTTGGGGTTTCAGGACATTCCTCTTGCTGTTGTCATCGGAAGATTTGAAAATAAAAATATTAAAAAAGAAGAGGTGACAGTGTTGCGCTGGCATCAATAGAAGGAGAAATTGAGGGAAATGGAAGACGAGGCGGAAGGCTAGATAACATCAGAGAAAGAAGAAGTAAAATGAAGGAAATCCAGAGAGCTGCCATTAGGAGAGATGCCAATGTACCAAGTTGGACTCTGAAAAATTGAACAAGTTTTACGACGTTTTTACGACATTGACACACAGTACGAATAACTGTGGCTTGAGCTTATAAAATGCAAGTTGTGGCCTATAATGATCTAAAATAACACATCTTTGAGCCTGAACGCATAAGATGTAAAGAATTGGACGGTTCTAAGTTGCTACTACCAGTTTCACGCTTTCAAGATCATCAGGCAACCGTATTTTTATGAGCCTAAAGATCGATAGATTTTTTAATGCAATAAATACTATTTAGTGTATTTAGTATCTTTATAGGTTGAAGCTTTTAGGATTTAATCACATAATCTGTGGTTCTGGCCAACGAAATCTCGAGTCTTAGATATTCTTTCATGCAAATTGGGTTAAGGTCATTAAGAGTTGAAAGACTTCAAGGGAGAAGAGCTTTGAAGTACGAGCGTAGTCCATAGTTTTCATGGATTGAATGAGAAGTTCTTGATAAGATGATAGGCTTCTTTTGCTGTATACTACCCAAAAAAAGTTAGAATCATCACGATTTCACTCACTTTTGATGCAATCAGGGATACCATTCAATGTCGCTGAACCATCCACCGTCACTCCATGTTCATTGACACACCAGCAAGTACCAATATTGGCATTGCATTGGTCCCTTTCAAAAGACCCTGTTTGATCACATCTGAATACATGCCTTCTACCAACTTCAGTGTTGGCGTTCTCTTTTATTGCCTCGTCCCTTAATCTTTCGCATTTAGTCAAGTTACCTGATGTAACTAAAAGAAAAATAAATACTGTTTTTATTTCATTAAATTCACACTTTATGCAAATATGAAGAGTCACAGTTCAGCAGTAATGACACAAAGGGAGGAGAGCAAAGAGGTAGACCAAGTAGTATAGGGGGGCAGATAAAAGGGGTTGGACACACAAAGGGGAACAGACAACTCCAAGAATCATCCTGGAGTGGAGAAAGTCTAGAAATGTTTTGGGTTACCTTACGTTTTTCTATTACAATTAGTGCTTCAAATTTACAGACAATTCTGGCATTTTGGCAATTTAATGATTTGAGTCTGCGAATTCTGCTACAGCAGCACTACTGTATATAACTAAGAACAGTTCGCAAAAGAATAATGCAAAAGTTGATTTTTCTGATACACGTTACCTACCAAAATAAACATACTGTACTCTGTAAATCATCAATGGTGCCTCACAGATACGAACAAAGCGCTTTAAAAAATAGGGTTTTATATGGTCAAAACCAAATGAAATAAGGCGATGTTATTTCCCAATGTAATCTTTTGGCCTTCATCTTGAAACATACATTTCATAATCTTTGTATACAGGAATGTGCTGCACAGGGAAGCAATTTCATAGTCGGTCGTGAAAAAGGAAATCAAGAATTTTGCTATATCCATTTCAAGCATTTTGCAATCGTTCAAAATCCAAAAGTGGAAAGCATATAAATTGCACCACCCCCCCCCCCCCCCCAGGTGAAATTAACAGCCATATGCGTCACGTATTTGTACGCATAAAGCATTAAGTGTCCCCTCTTTCGGTTTTTCAACTTTCATTACCTGCGCGTGTTAACAAGTGGTACGCGAAAGCAGGAAATATTTCTACCTTTATAAAATCAAAAAAGGTTGCTAAATACTACTGCACGACCTTATCATTCAGTCAGTTAATACGTGTAAAAATAACATAACGTACTTCTGTCGCATTGAGGGACATCAAATCTGGTTAAGGTGTGAGGGATCTCCTTTCCGTCAGCTGCCACACACCAACAGAAGCCTTCGTTACATTGTATGCTTTTGAACGACCCATCATCATTGCATTCAGGCAAATTGGCACCAAGAGGTAGCATCGGGAACATCTTGTTCATCACCCTTGCCAGCTTGTAAACATCTCTCTGTCGTTGTTCACAAACAGTTATGGGTTCTAAAAAAGAGAACAATTTTTCAGTTAAGTGGGGAAGCTGCCTGATTACCATGCTAATGGATTGATGCAGGGGATATGATAGCAAATAACATATTGCTTGAGCAAAGACCTGATTAGAAGAAATAATTAAGAAATTTTTGGGTGATGAGCTTTTATCTGAACTAAAGTACTTGAAGGCAAATCTACTGTAACTGGAAATGCATTTCAAAGATTTGCAGCCAAAATGTGACACGCTAAAATCAGAGTGCGTGAATGCGAGAAGATCTCTAATATTTTATTGTTAGAATCACTGCTTAAAATAATTCATCATTTTCACACTAAATCAACTACCTGAACTTTCAATTTTACCGTGCTTTCATCACAAAATAATCCAGCTCTTCCGCATATGTTATTTCTAGCAGTTAACTATGAAAATTAACACAATGATTAAAGAAGAGAAAATTTCTTGGGTAGAGAAGTAAATTCATGTTAACATAACCATATGTTTTGAAAATTCGTGGATGTCGAAAGAATTAGGCTTAAAAAGAAACGACTTAAAGCAACCTGTTTTCTAAAGGAGGGCGTACAACGGATATAATTCATAGTAGAAGTGGTACTTGTAATCTTTTCCTAATAACCCTGATATGCGTTGTCTTAAAAATTTTGATTTTCACTAAAGCAAACTTAGTCTCAAGACAACTAATATTTTGAATGGCCTATGTAAAATCGATACATCAGTAGTTGCATTACTTTTACCCTTACCATTCAAACCAGGACATTCAAATTTGCCAGTGTTGTTTGTGGCCCATTCAGTCATTTTGCCTTCACTATCAACACACCAACAATGTCCGGTAGCTTTATTACACTGCATCCTTTCATACTGTCCGTTTGATTTACATTGAGGCACAAAAAGCGAGCCATCGTCCACTTCCGTTTCCAATAGACTCCTTCTCTCGATCTCACAGACAGTCAGATTACCAGATAGAACTGCAAAAGAAGACATTGTTACAGAAAAACATCTATATTTGTCAGGAAGGTATGATGGTTGATGGTGATGAAACAAAAACAACATGGTCATGATACAAAGCAACTTCACTATTGTCGGACCTTCCAGCGGTTGCGGTTTAAACTCTCAATTCATAGTTTTGCGTTGATGAGTCAAGAATATACCCGTAAAATCGGTTGAACTACAATGCGTTCAGTTTCAAAGAAGCTATGGGCCTACAGACCTCAAGAAATATATACTTTATGATGTATCGTATTGGTGACACAATGTGGGTCAACGTTGTGACATTGTCATATTTCCCATATGACAAAAACATATTTTGCAAAAGTGCAGAATACGCCCAAGACCCCCAGTTTTGCCTCCCCAACGCTTGGGGTTGGTCATTACAGGAGAGACTTTTTTGCTACAAGCAACCAAATGTAAGAAAGTCTTGAAATAAAGTGATATTTGGTAAGCTCATGAAATCAAGAGAAACATATGAAAATTATGAAGTTTTTTTGTGCCTTTGTCCTCCCTAGCGTCTCTTTTTGTGATACAGTCTAGGAAAGTTTCGAAACTCGCACCGATTGCTGACAAAAGCGGCATCAGTACTCAGTCGCTTATGGTGATAATTAAATACTGTTGTTGTAAAAGAGTAACTCACTTCTTTTGCATTCAGGCGACTCAAATCTTCTTCGGCTGTCTTCGATTTCCCTTCCATCCTTGCTCACACACCAACAGTAAGACTCGTGGCATTGCATCTCTTTAAAGCTGCCGTCTTTGTTGCATTCTGGCATGAAGATACCAAGAGGTAACACTGGATACCTCTTGTTGATCAGGAATGCCTTGTTGTAAACCTTTTCCTTTTTCTTTTCACATTCTGATTGGGGCACTAGCGACACAAAATGAGGATTGTGAGACATTAACCAAATAAAACAAAGGTAGAGGGTTGGATATATTTTTGATCAAAATGAACCAAATCAAAGCTAACCATATCCGAATCAACAAATATTATCTTGTTAAATCCGATCAAAATATTCTTACATTCTATGCAGCTATACATGCAGGGAAAAGCATACACTCACTACGTGTGTTGGGGAATACTTGGAGACGTTATGAAAGAAGGTTACTTGCTAACATTTTTCCGTGATTGCAACATAACTTTGCGAATTGTACGGAGGATCTATTATATCTGAAAACATTCAATGTATCTTGGAAAATTCAACTCAAATGTACAGAAGAAGGCACTTTGAAAATAGGTAACACAGAACGGACAGACCTTTTGAGCAGACATTCGAGGACTCATTCCTTCCAACCCAGCGAGTCATATCGCCATTCTCATTTACACACCAACAACGGCGACTTTTGATATTGCATTGCTGTCTTGAATATGAACCATTCACTTCACATTGCGGGATATACAACCAATTGGGCACCTTGCCATCGTGTTGCACGTAAAGGAACTTTCGTTTATACTCACATGGCGATAACTTGCTTTCAAGTACTGTCAAGAATGAAAGGAATATCATCATAGCACTGACAGCATAGTACATCAAGAAAATCCTTATCAATCATCCTTATCAAAGTACAGGTCAGAGTAGAGACAAGAAAACTTTGCTCTTTAAGGGACTTTACGGTTAAATTCTGCTTGGCATTTGGGATAACTTAAGACCTCCAATTATAACTGAAGGCTCAGTTTATTTAATTTAAACTTCAATAATGTTTCTGGACATTCCGTATCTTTGACATTGGAAACAGAAGCCACGACAGTAATCTATCATTATGTTCTCTTCATTTTTTTAACAATCGCTAGATACTCCTTATCTCTTACTAAAAATTACTCTTATATATAATCTTTATCATAAATCCTTACGCTGTTTTCCACCGTATCTAAGCAGGCCGAGTTACAAAGTGGCTTTTCAACAGATTTATAAATTGCTAAGTAATTTTAGCTGCATGATTACTATCACTTAAGTTCTTGAGAAATTTTGGAGATATAACAGGAGTTTGGGTATAATTGTCCCTTCAAGGGATATTACAAATTCGAAATTATCAATCACATAATTACATCTCTTGCACTGTGGTACGGCATGCTTGTAACTCGTTCCGGGCAGCATTTCGCCTTCCTTATTGACGCACCAACACCGTGACTCACTCTCATGACACTGCAGTTCCAAGAAGCTTCCATCTTTCTTACACTGAGGAACGTGTAGCCCCTGGGAGGCTAGCTTGCTTGCTTCTTTCTCCTGTTTTTGACATTTTGTCAGATTCACTGTAACAAAAATAATGCAAATAAGCTGCATAGATAGTTCTTTATCAATTTCCTTGTTTATTTATTTAAGTTTTTTCCACTCTTAACGTTGACATGATAGAACAAAAATTTCTCTGGTTTTCGATACAGTAACACAATCTTATTAATTTAGTAAAATCATTTCCTCTATTCTTTACAAAAAGAATTGTTAAGGAATTTATCACCCCTTCTTTAAGAAAAATTTAAACAATACCATACCACTGTCACAGTCTGGATGACCAAACTCCGTGCGAGTGCCATCAATCTCAATGCCTTTTTCATCAACGCACCAACAATTCCCATCGTGGCATTGGGTATCTTTATAACCACCATCCCTGGTACACTCTGCGACAAAACTTCCGCTTGGTTCTTTAGCCGATGCTTCTAGCTCCTTTTGGCATTTTGTCAACTTTCCTTTAAAATATTTTTAAAATTGCTACTCTTAACGATAACTTTATTGTGTCTATGTAGATTAAAACTATATAAATAGCAATTAGCAATTAATGTCCCCGTTTTAGTTTCCCAGAAAAACATTACTTTAATAGCCTTAACCTAAAATCAATGGTTTACTTATAAAAATTATCCAATTATTAGGGTTTTCCCATGTGTGTAAACATTTAAACCTTCCTTTTCTTCCACGTCTTATGTTAACCTCAAAAAACCAAACCAATGAATTAACTAGGGTATGTGCCCTTCATATAACCTCAGAATTTCTCCTTTGCTAATGCGCTAACTTTCCTCTTAGGCATTAAAGCTGACCCTAACCCTTTGTCTACATACCGAGAGGTACGTTAAACCATTGGCAAAGATTTCCTCGTGGGCAAAGGTCTTGTATCAGAAAATATCGTCCCCGATGGGAGGTTCGCGTGATTCCATAAGAAAGCCAACTCAATTTTTATAAATATTTCGGAGAACCTATAAGGGTATTAAATGTGGAGACCCCCTAAAGGAGGTGGTCAACATCCTAGATAAAAGCATATAAAGAGCATATAAAATATAAGTAGTATATGGAAAGCCAGTCAGGGGACTCGAATAGGTATTGAAAAGATGTGGTCCACACACTTTTTGAGTCACGCTTGTGCGAGGAATGCAAAAGAATAAAGGAGAGAGCTATTAAGAGGATGAAAATGAGCATAACATGAGACCACAGCGACCTCAGTTTATTGATTCGACTAGCTGCTATCGTTGAAAGAGACTAAACCAGTAGCAAATGTTTCGAAATATTATATCATTATAAGATAACCTCGTTTAGCCTTTTGTTTTGAAAAGAGACTGCTTTATGTGCACCGTTTAAGAATCGTAAATGGAAACTTTAAAAAAGTCTTCGTTTAATTTGAGGTTTTCATTCCTTCGTGCCTTGCAAAAAAACCCACAGGAGTAGAATTTCAGTTGCTATTTGGCAAAAATAAAGTAGTGGTAGTACTATTATGGACTTGTGAAAGACTTTGTGCGTTGTCTGATGATATTCGTTATTTGCACTTACGTTTTTTACAATCAGGTTCCCCAGAACTAACTCTGGTGTGTGGCACCTCGTTACCATTCTGGTCAACACACCAACACTCGTTGATTTTATTCCAGCACTGGATTTGGTTGAAATTTCCATTACCATCACATGAGGGGAGGCGCGTAAGTGACCGCTCGTCGTCTGGCACGCGCTCTAAGCCACTCAAAATCTGACGTCGTAATTTTTCACATTTTGTTGGTGCACCTGCAAAGTAAGCGAAAATAATTTGAAATGCTATCAAACGGGGTTTAGCAAATAACTACATGCTACAAATATGTTGTTACTAGGACATTCTACCAGCTCATTGTAGTTAGTCTCAAGTGTTAAGGATGGTTGCAGATAAAATAAGGGCCTCAAAATGTGAACTCATTTTGAAACAAATATATGGGACTGGAAAAACCCAATTCAGATTAGAGAAAGAACAGATTAAAGACCAATTAAAAAAGCTACTCGGGAAGATCTCCAACAAAAGAACACAGACTACAAACATAAAACAGAATTTTTTCTGGTGAAGAGTGTCAATTTATGAGTATCTTTTCATTCTGACAAAATGTAAGAAAACGCTACTTACGATCACAGTTTGGTCTTGATTCTTTGGTCCTTGTGCCATCGACTTCAGTGCCATTTTTATCGACACACCAACACGTTCCTATTGACTGATGACACTGAAGAGGCGAGTAACGGCCATCAGCTTCACAAGTTGGAAGAAAGACACCGGGTGCGGGAATCACTTTTCCGTCAATTTTAAGAGCAGTCTTGAGGGAGTCTTCCCTTTGTTTTTGACACTCAGTTGATGGTTTATCAACTAAAAGATATCAGTAAACAACTTTCAAATGGCAATTGGGCAGAAAGTAGAAAGTACAATGTACAAATCCTAACAAAATAGCACGCTATTCTAGGCAGGTAGTTTGGTGTTTTGGCAATTTGTAAACCAGCCTTTGCCAAGCTGGCAAAAGATTAAGGGACATTGGATTATGACCTGCCCAAAAAGAAAATTATGCGTGGTGCATTCCAAGAAAGGGTATCTACAAAGTCCGCTTACAAAAATTCGAATATCAAAGGGATATATTTTGACAACGATTATGGGAAAAAAGGATTTTGATGGCGTCTCGTTGCCTGATGGCACGGAGCTTAGGATTCATAATAAAAACGTTCACACGTATTAGAAAACGGTTTTTTCTGTAGTGTAAGACAAATTTGCACCCTTAGAGGCCAACCATCACCAGTGTCAAATCAACTCTCCTTTCACTATCTACCAGCCCGGCAACAAGAAGATCTAGTTATAACATTTAAATTTCGCTGACAGAAAATAACCAGCAGACAAATTTCTTCGTGGAAAGTGGTCCACCGAGCCAGATTGTATTTTTTTGAGCTGGATTAAGACATGTTTGATAGAGAAGTTTTCAGAGCATCATTAACAGCTCAGTTAGCTATTATCCGGCCTCGAATTGATTTGTCAGTCCACGTGATATAACGGCAAGCAATGGTGACATTATGAAGGTTTCACATGCCTGTTTTCTTGTTGCTGTAGAAAAAATCCTGTCAACCAAGTTTAACATTGCATGTGAATGTCATCCCTTCCAATCGCATTACATCCTAATGTCCAATCGCATTACATCCCAAAATACAATCGCATAACATCTCAAAAGGCAATGACATTACATCCCTAAACGCAATCGCATCATTTCCCCAAATGAAATCGCATTACATCCCAGAACGCAATCGCATCACATTACACAACACATTTGCATCATACTTGATATTTTAAGTAAGTAAACTGACCTTTTTTACAATTGGGAACACCCCGTGTTTTTGTGCCGATCACCTCTTCTCCGTTCTCATCCACACACCAGCAAAAGCCGGATGATTTTAAACACTGGACTTCTGCATAGTTTCCCTCCTCGTCACACGTTGGGATAAATGGTCCCAGTAAATCCTCCTCGTCGTCAAAATCGGCTTCAGCTAGCTTGATTGCCAGTTTTCGCACTTTTTGACATTTTGTCTCTTCCTCTACATAATCAAAAAGATATATTTTTGTGTCATTTAATGTTTTCAACAAAGACCTAGAAGGGTCGAGAAATTCTTTTCATGATTGCAGGATATCTTTATACCGGAGAGCTTTCATATATACAATAGATTTTATTCGACTAAATCATCACATCTAATAAGGAAACACGGATCACCATTTGTAGGAAAGCTCGCGCTATTTTGGTCAATCCCATCAACGCTTTGGTGTACCCTCCTGTACAACAAATATTGTTCCTGAAGCTAGTTTTACCAGGGGCTAGCATTCTGTTTAGCTGTCAAAGCTACTGGAAGAAAGCTCATATACTTCTAACATTAACTGAAAAATTTAAACGTAGGATAACAAGCACAACATACTTTTAATGCACAACATACTTTTGATGCATGTCAGACTGTCAGGAACTCCTTTCCCTGCAACGGGCAAGCCAGTTTTCTTATCAACACACCAACATTTCTTTTTCGATAGCAAGCATTGTACTTCCTCGTAAAGACCACTTGCGTCACATTTTGGCAGATATGTTGCAGCTATTGGGTTGCCAACTTCCCGTCTTTTCTCGATTAATTTCAATGCCTCGATACGAGAGCGCTCGCAAACGGATATCTGGCCTGCAAGGAAAGAATCCTTTGAGGCGGTCTGAATTTCAACGGCAACCTCAACATACAGTATGTAGGAATATTTCAGTTGTAACAGCACTACTGTCTGATATTTCACCACGGGTTCAACAATGATATATCATAGTTGGCTCACTATGATTTTATCGTGAATTTCAATGATTTTACAGTGATTTTACCACGAGGTTTCTACGGCCTAATTGCAAAACATCTCTGATTCATAGTTGAATTAAAGTAGACTACCCGATATTATAAAAACCTTGTTATCAGTGTGAATCCAACAAGGACTCTGTTGTAAAGTTACACGCATCATAAAAAATAACAGAAACCACATAATGCTATAATAGCATGGCATGAACTTTCACTCTTACTCAATGCTGCTATTTTCACTCAACATACACTAGTTTTGATACCCTTTGCAAACGGACCTGAAGTAGATCATACGGGCAGAAGGCTTAGAAACTAAACATACTTTTGAAGCAGTCTGGCTCTCCACCCTGAGAAACATTCACTCGAGAACCTGGTAGTTCTTTGCCATCGTGAGGGCCAACGCACCAACACAGGCCTAGCATGGTCCAGCACTGTATCCTCTCAAAATTTCCTTTTTCGTCACAATTTGGAACAAACTGAAGTCCAGGCAAAAGGCTCGAGCTTGCGCCTGAAAGCTGGCTCAGAAATTTTGAGCGCATTTGAAGACATTTTGTGGCAGGCTCTGAAAAGTAGTTGCTTTTCTTAGACTTTTAGACACTTATGGCTCATTGAATGTGTAAAAATTCACCCAGTCAATACTTAAAACATGTTCTATTTAGTCAAATCTACATTCTTTAAAAGATTTTGTAATTTATGCATAACATAAAATATGATCCAAAATATGAAGTATCCAAAAAGCATAAAACTAATATTTACAATGAAAAGGAAATACTTTATTTACTTTATTTCACGATGATCATTTTCCAGGAATGAATTCGTTTCCAGGAACCAAATTATTGGGGATTAAAAACAGTTTCCATAGTGAGAAATTCATTCTCAAATTAAATCAGTTCTGCTCAAAACTAGACAGTAATTTGGAATCATAATCATAAACTAAGTAGCGAATAGTCTTTGGCAGGAAATAGATGTAGGTTCTAAGAAAGAAAAAACAAATTCGTAGAAATATCGCTTGATATACCTGAAACTGCTGTTGGTGTTGTGACAACTTCCTCTTTTTCTGGTGCAATTGTAGTTTGCGCAACCTTTACTGTGGGTTGGAGAGTTGAACTAATTTTAGCATTCGGGACCCTCGTATCAACTGTTTCAGCTATCACAGGCTCAGTAAGGGTTTCAGTCACGTTCTTTACTGGAAGGGTTTTGATTTCAGGCGGCTGTGTTGGTTCAGGTTCAGTTGGTTCTACAGTTAGCTCTGACGTTGGCTTCCTTGTTAACGTGAATTCCTCCGCAGGTTTGGTAACTGTTTCAGCTTCCACAGTCTCCTTGTGGGAATCGGTGATTGGCTGCGTGGTTACAACTTGAATCTTCTCCTCCGTTGCAGGAACTGGCCTGGTCGTAGCTGTGGTATAATCTACAGCAAACTTTGTTAGATCTTCTGTAAATAAAGGTAAGAGTGAGATCAGTTTTTCTAGATCAGTGGATGGTGGCATAAGTGTGCTGATTTCTCTTGGTATGGAAGGAGCTGCTGTGGTTCTAGGCATTGAGGGCCTTAGCATCTCTTCCGTAATGACCACTGGAGGTGGAATTGTAGTTGGAGACGTGTCTTTTGCTTTTGATTCTGTAGTGACTGGCAAATCAGCTGTGGTAGGAACGGCTTGGGTGGTAGGCTTTGAAGTCCTGATCAATTCTTCTGTAATGATAACAGGAGGTGGGGTTGTCTCCTTTCCTGCTGATTCAGAAGTGACCGGCAAATCTGCTGTCGTAGGAATGGCTGTGGTTTCAGGCTTAGAGGGCTTGAGCAATTCTTCCGTCACAACTACGAGAGGTTCATTTGTGGTGGTTTTTTTAATGATCGGATCCGGTCCAAGGCCAAATTGGTCTTCAGTTATAACAACTGGAGGCTGTAATGTCATTCTTGAAGCAGTAGTCAGTTTCACTGTCACTTTCGGAACTTTTGTTGTTTGATCTTGGGTGGGAGCTTTTGTAGTCTCATTAGTCTTTGCCTCGGTTGTTGGGGCTACAGGTGTCGTCGTTTCAATTCTTGCAGCTTCAGTTGTCGTTTCTTTGGTTGCTGGGGCTGCAGTCGTCGTTGCCTGCGTTGTTTGGGCTGCAGTCGTCTTTGACTGCGTTGTTTGGGCTGTAGTCGTTGTCGCCTCAGTTGTTGGGGCTGTAGTTGTCGTGGCCTCGGTTGTTGGGACTTCAGTTGTCGTGGCCTCGGTTGTTGGGGCTGCAGTTGTCGTGGCCTCGGTTGTTGGGACCTTAGTTGACGTTGCCTCGGTTGTTGGGGCTTCAGTCGTCGTCGCTTTGGTTGTTGGGACTTCAGTTGTCGTTGCCTGGGTTGTTGGGACATCAGTTGTCGTCGCCTTGGTTGTTGGGACATCAGTTGTCGTGGCCTCGGTTGTTGGGACTTCAGTTGTCGTGGCCTCGGTTGTTGGGGCTGCAGTTGTCGTGGCCTCGGTTGTTGGGACCTTAGTTGACGTTGCCTCGGTTGTTGGGGCTTCAGTCGTCGTCGCTTTGGTTGTTGGGACTTCAGTTGTCGTGGCTTGGGTTGTTTGGGCTGCAGTCGTTGTCGCCTCAGTTGTTGGGGCTGCAGTTGTTGTGGCCTCGGTTGTTGGGGCTGCAGTTGTAGTTGCCTCGGTTGTTGGGACTTCAGTCGTCGTCGCTTTGGTTGTTGGGACTTCAGTTGTCGTTGCCTCGGTTGTTGGGGCTTCAGTCGTCGTCGCTTTGGTTGTTGGGACTTCAGTTGTCGTTGCCTGGGTTGTTGGGACATCAGTTGTCGTCGCCTTGGTTGTTGGGACTTCAGTTGTTGTCGCCTTGGTTGTTGGGACTTTAGTTGTCGTTGCTTCAGTTGTTGGGACTTCAGGTGTCGTTGCCTTGGTTGTTGCAGCTTCAGTTGTCAACGCCTCGGTTTCTGGCGCCTCCGTTATCACTACCTTGGTTGTTGGTGCCGCTGTGCTAGGGGACTTTCGAGTAGGGGCCTGAAAAAAATAGCGAAAGGATAACAAAATAGAAAATCATATATTGTAACAGTTGGGAAAGGGCAGATTAAAAAAGAAATAAAGAAAATACTACATACAAGAAATTAAATTTTTGGCATTGCATTCGCAATTCATTGTTCCCTCTAACTAGGCTTACAGAGAGTAAGCTGACAATATCTTAAATTGAAGATTGAAACCATTAAACTTTATTCATTCGCATGTTATGAAGCTTAGAAATAATCATAGGTAAATTGTGCTAACTGTCTTTTTACAAATACATTCTTCTCCTAAACCATTTTAAAGCGCTGTTCAAAGCGTCTGTTGAGTTAAATATCGAATTGAAGATCCACTTACCCCAGTGATCGTTGCCTTTGTTTCTAAAAATGAAAGAGTAAGAAAAATCACTCATCTAGTCAGGAAAGTACGCGGAAAAAGAGGAATATCATTAATGGATCAATGATCCTATTTCTTGCAGGAGTTTTTAGGTGTGAAGGTCTTAGAAATCAATTTTCAAAATATTTGAATTCTGACCAACAAACCTAAGACAACATCATGAAAAACTTCTAAATAGGCAAAATTAGTTAAAAATTTCAAAAATTGGGCGATTCATGGCCAGTGAAACATTTGGAGCTTGCAAACGGATTACTGGTATTTTGGCTCTGTCCATGAAGTTACATGAAGTCACAAAATCGCTAGTATTCTTAAGTATTTAGAGCAGATTAAAAGTTTTTTTATGAAACTAAAAAACTCAAAAAAATAAAAACTCTGACCTTTTTGACATCTTATTTCACATCCACGGAAAGATACGAAGTTATTCTGGTTTCCCTTACATCCACCATAGACAAACTTTTCGCATCTTGAAGAGGTTGTGTTGTAGAAGAATCTTTCTATGGAACCATAGCATGGGCCAACAACTGGATCCATGTCACAAATTGAGTCGTACGCTGTGGAAAAGGAAATTGCAAACGGCTCTTACATTATATCTTAAAACCCAAACGGCAGTTAAATTTCTTGATATGTGTGCGTCATATGTATTTGACATGGTATACCAAATTTGATAATCTAGCGTCTGATTATACTGCTCCAAATGTCAGCGGTTTATTACTGAATATATGCGCTTCAGGCATATAAAGAAAACTCCTGGATTCAGGAAATATATGTTTTGCTCCTTTGAGCACTATAAACAGAGGGAATTTTGGGTATACGATCAATACTCAATTAAATGAGCAACAAACAAATGTACTAGGATCCTTATCATCTCTGTGGGCATTATCCGTGGGCCACAGCCGGGCTCTGACGAATAGCGAGAACGAATATTTGTTACTAAAACTTCTATGAATACTCTGAGGAAAGATGAAAGTACTGTGTCAAGTCCATATGTTTGGGACAATGTTTAGAGAGGCTGAAAGATTACCTGGACATCCCTTGTAATCACGACCGGATGCGGAAGTAACGCCATCGGGGCAACATCCGTATTTGCTTGCACATCCTAGTCTTTTTGGCTCATAATCTGAAATAAATGGCTTCAAAGTCAATGAATAAGTTTGCAAGAAGATTTCAGGAGTTGTTTTCAAGGAGGAATGATATCTCTTGGATGTTGACTATAAACTTTGGTGAGTTACATAGCAATTGAAACGCTCTAGAATATTTGAAAGCTCAAAGTCATATTTAAAATTTGTCGAGATAATTTTAATGTAATCAAAGTGTAACTTTCAACAACGAACTCTTTGCTGGTTCATTGTGGCTCACCATGTCCAGAAGTTTTGTTCCTCCATATATGATTGATAAATACAATAGACATTTTGCTAACGTGGTCACAACTTAGAGAAGATGGAAAGAAGAAAAAGTTGAAATAAAGAAAGGGGAGTGGAACAAATGTTGAAGAAGAGGAGCAAACAGGGAGAAATGTTAGGAAAATCGACCAAGACGGTGAGACATTGTGACATACGCTCTGCACCACTGCCACATGCAATGTTGAAAACATCACAAGTGGTCCTTAGTTTAACATTAGCAGTAAGGGTTACTTGAATACATTTCTGCAAACGACGATAAAGCTTAAGGTTAAGGGTTACGAGTGAGCTAAGCAGATGTTTACTGGATTAATGAAATAACTCACCGCATAAGTTACAAGTTTTTGCACAGTATAATTTCATATAACTTTTGTAGACTTGGCAGTAATTTCCGGACTTTGCAAATTGTTTACACTGTGCTTCCTTTCTTACATCCCGGCAACGGCTTTTTTCAGCTGAAGTAAATGAATATGGCTTTATGCTTATACATATGTGATATAACGTAAGGAGTAGCAGCAATCTGTATGTTTAAGGGGGTGTGTTGGGAAAACTAGAAACAATCAGAACCATCTGATGTATGCATTGAGAATATGCCAAGTAAAAAATTCTCTTCCAGCCTTGATTCTGATATGAACAAAAAGATGGGGGCAAGTACAAGTAAAATACTTTTCTGAGTTACACAAAGAAGTAGTAAGAAGAAGTAAGAAGAAGTATCATAAAAGCTCATCTTCTAAAAGTATGGAGATTTCAATTCAAGAAAACATATTTCAATTAAAAAAGGTCAAAGACAGTCAAATCTTTCCATGGCCTATCGCGGCCCCTAGATCTGATCGTACTTCTTCTGACTCAGATTCCAAAGTGACAAAAATTACCTTAAGAGGGGTCCTGAATTTCTAAAGATAATTATATTGACCATACATGGTGGAACAAACAACATTTGACTCACGTTTCGGGCATTTTGGATTCAAAGAAAATTCTCTTGTTCCTTCGATTTCATTGCCATCTTGATCAACACACCAGCAAAGCCCAACTGGTAAAACGCACTGGACTTTGTTAAATGAGCCATCAGGGTTACAGCGTGGCAAAATTACGTCACTTCTTTCCATTGCATACGCCATGTCCCCACTTGATGCAGCTATAACTAGACTTCGTCTCAGCTGACACTCGGGTAAACGCGGGACTAGAAGATGAATTACATAATGATTTACGCAAAAAAGTAAGTCTTGAAGAGCTGCTCTTAACTTTGCATTGACGCAAAGCCCCTGCTTAAACAATATATTTAAGCTAACCTATTCAGCTAGACTAAACACAACAGAAAATGCTGGGTGGAGTTTTTGAAGAGCAATGGTTGAGTAAATGCTGGCTATTGATAGGCTCGTTTAATAATGAAGACATGATCTTCAGGTCGTTAATTGCAATTTAATCAGGTTCTACGCAGTGCTCATCACGTAAAACTGAACAGCTAGCCTATTCAAAAGAATAATGACTTCATTAGTATTCGCGTATTACCATTCTCAGCAAGTTCATGAGTTATTAAATAATTTGCAAAACAAATGCTTTCGTCTGCCATTTTATCATGCGCTTTTAGGATGGAATCTTATCCAGCTAAAAGTTAGATAAAATAAAATAAATTGCCCTTAAAAAGCCTAGAAACCAGCATTTATGCAACGAAAATTGCTACTCTTATATTAAGGTCCATTCAAATTATAAATTATCATGTAACAAAAGCAGTGACATGATATGAAAATGGATAATCAACCAACCTGTAGTTGGAATCATCGTTGTGGTCGGTGGCTTTGTCGTGGTCGCCTTTGTGGTCGGCTTTGTGGTCGGCTTTTGAGTTGTCGTGGCCTTTTGGGTCGTTTTGGGTCTCGTGACCGGTCGTGTCGTTGCCTCTGTTGAAGGTGTAGTCGTTGCTCTTGGCGTAGTTTTTGGAAGAGTAGTTGGGTCTGGAGCAAAAGTCGTAGACTCCTGTGAGAGAATCAAAGCCTTTCATTAAACCAAAAGATCAAAGGAAATAGTACATTTCATATGATACCTAACAAATATCTTTTATAGCCAGACAGTTTTTTTCATTACAGTTCATCCCTCAAGTATCTTTCGTTGTGTTTTCTTTAAACTTTGCCTTTTCGTAACGTTAACCAATATAACTTATGATCCCTCTCTCTAACATGTTCCTAGCCCCATTCCTTTCTCTGCACCTTTTTTCTAAGACCATTCATCATCCCTTTTCCCATCTTCACTTTTTGTCCTATTACATCTTGTCGAGCTTTGCTTTGTCTTGCCTTCTTCATAAGTTTTGTCTTGCTTTCTTCATCAGTTCTGTCTTGCCTTCCTCATCAGTTTTTTCTTCCCTTCTTCGTCAGTTTTTCCTTGCCTTCTTGGCATATTTTGCCCTTTCATTTTCAGCCGTTTCCCGTGTATTCCTATTTCTTTCCGATTCTTATCTTCTGCCTATCATTCCTTTGCCAAATATTATCTCTTTTTCCAACCTTATTTTCTCCTCCCCCTCGTAAGATTACTTCAATTAACGTAACACTAGTTGTATATAACTCTTCTTATAACATTTTAGTTTCGTACCTTAGTTTCTCCTGGAGCTGGAATATCTAGAAAGAAACATTTTGCATCATTTTCAAAAATTACATGGTAGTGAGAAAATCAGAGTATAAATCAAAGAAGCGACAAAATATTTCTGATTTCTTATCCAGGACACGATTTTTTGAATGAAAGCTTCCTGAAAATATTTTCTAGACCATTGCAAAAATTGGTAATATTTCATTGCCTTCTCCCTCATTCTATCCCACAATAACGTTATGGACTACTGCTCACAAACTGTGAATTAACAAGCGCAGGAATTCGCTTTCAAATCGTATTTCGTATTTCTAAAGCAATAGAACGATGCAAATGAAATGATCTGTTAAAGGCTATTGCGCAACCGGCTTGCTTTGCGACTATATTCTCAAGACCAGCCTAATATCGTACTGCATGTACCTTTGTGGCAAGTCTTTAGACAATCATCCTTGTTTCTGAACTTGTTTTTGTTTCCTCCAATCCCACTGTATACGAAATCTTCACAGGTGTGCTGCATTGTGTTGTAGAAATACATTCGGATAGCCCCTCTACCATGTCCAGTCGCCACGGGCATATCACAAATTGAGGCGTAGACTGAAATTTGAGAGAAAACGGTAAATGATATGCAGCAACGTAAAACAAGGACATTTTCACCTAAAAACGATGGTGGCAGTGACGACGGTGGCAGATAATAAGCATCAACACAAGCATTAACACCTTCTATATCCCCGTCCTATTTCCTCCACATAGTTCTCTTAACTTTAACTGGCAAACAAATACCTAGGAAAATTGTTATTGTAAGAAGCTGAGGTTAAATCAATTTATGTCAAGGTGAGATATTTCTACATGCTTAAAAATACCTCGAAGATGCAAGAATTATTCGATTGAAAATTATTTTGAAGCAGTGGGTGAAATTGAGGGTTTGTGGTGGCATGGGGCAGGGTGAAATTAGGACCATGGGACAAAGCATTGCATCTAGCTATGTCGAATGATAACAGGCTATTATTGATCTCCAATTTGGAAGAGAAAATGCAGCCCATATCCCTGCCTTCAACACAACCTCGGGGAGTATAAGGTTATATAAAATCATGCCACAGTGAATGTTTTCCACAAAGCATGATATGGTAAATCATAACTTACTAGGGCCTAAAATGCTCGCAAAGGTTGGTAGATGCTTTTCGAAGGCAATAGGTACAAAAAATGATTTGTAACACACACCTGGACATCCAAGATTGTTTGGACCAACCGCCGGAAGAAGTCCATCGACACAGCATCCAAACTCGCTACCACAGCCATTGCCTATGGTGCTTGGCGTTGTAGTCAGTACAGCTAAAAAAGAAGTCAACAGAAATTCCAAATTCTACAGTTCTCTTAAAAAAGAGTCGAAATTAACGTATAAATCTTAACATGTGATTTTGCTTCCACAAACGATACCAGAACTGAGGTCATTCATTCTGTGTTTTCAAATGATTTATCAGATTTTGAGTTGTCCGCCAACTGTTTCAGGAAGTGTTACTTGTGCAAAGCTTTTTAGTTTCCTAATGGAGTTGAGAACAATTTATGCCAACAACAATAAAAAAATCTTAAAAAAGTAGAAATCATTGCTGCTCAATGTCGGATGTATATAGGAAACTGAAGTCCGGGCTAACAGCTATGGCTTGAAAGAAACTAAATCTATTCTCTACTTTAGTCTAAATGTACATTATGAAAAAAAATCTATTTCACCCAGTTACAGATTATTTCATGAACAAGATTCATTAAATTTGAATTTGTATTCTGAAGATAGGAACTGATTTAAAGAGACGTAATAGGATATTTGGCTAGACATTTTGATAAAGAAACGAACAACTTTTAAGGGCATTATCTGATATGGATCTCAAGAAGGCGATGTTATCTTGTATTTTCTAAAACAAGAACTTTAAATACATTTCTAGCTAGTGCAGAATGTTACTTGATCAATTATCACTGAACTCCTGCTTGATAAATAGTTATGAAGCATACTTGTTCTGCGTGGGATGGTGACTGGAGCATTTGTTGTGAATTGCTTTTTCTCAACTTTTTGAGTCGTTGTTAGCTTCTGTGTTGTCTACGAATGGGATTAAAAAAGATTTAAAGATAAGATTCCCAAATACTTCATATTTTTGACGTTGATATTAAAATACTTTGATATGAAAATTACAGAAAGCCTACGGATCATACTTTAAGAGCAGTACTGATGACCAAAAAAGGTTGAATTATGAAAATAAACTACTTACCAGCTTTTGAATCACTGGCTTCTTTGTCACAAAAATAACTTCGTCTCCGCCTACAAGAACAACATATACTAAGTAATTTTTCCTGAACATTACTTTTTTATGACAGCCCGTATTCTTGATAACTTGTGAATATTCAAATGCTTAAAAAGTTTGGAGGGGAGTGAAATGTAGTGTGAGCCTGAGAAATGATGGGTTTTTAAAACAGAAATGCCTGCCAAAAGTCTTAGGGCAATAATATCAGTTTTCAAAAGCAAACTCAGCCATCCCCCTCCAGCCCGTTAGAGCAATGTTGGTCTACTACAAAACAAATATGATTTTTTAAATAAATATTCCTCTAAACTTTTAACATTGCTCTTGGGTCAAGGGGGTTGGGGTTGGGTTCGGAAAAAGAAATGAAAAATAGGAAAACGCAACGCAAATTGCTTGCGTGTTCCAAATAATGTTGACAGGCAATAAAAGTATCTAAAGAACAATGGGCAGATGCCACGCATGGCAATGTGCTCATTTCATAATCAAGTCTTGCTACTAAAATGGTTGAATTTCAATTGTATTTGGCTTCTAGTTGTACTCCATACAACCAAATCTGAATCTAATTCATAACCGTATTCGTAAAAACACAAAGAATTAACCGCAGTTGTTGCAAAACAATATCGAATTGGAGTTAGCATATAAAATTTTTGCTTTCACTTACTGCAATAGCCACAGGATCTGGTACAATATTTTTGCATATATGTAACAAACACTTTGCAATACCCAAGATGCTTTTGGCAATCCTTTCGTTTATCGACACAAGTAGCTGTTGAAAAAGAAGGGAGTTACAATCTCAGGCTCCTTATCTACAGAATTAGTACCAGACGACAGCTTATAGACATATACAATAGAAAAGTAGAAAAAACTTGGTAGTAAATTTTCAAGAATCCAAAGTGTCCAGGGGCCGAAGGTTCAAAAGAACTTAGACAATACAAACAAATCTAATTTGCTGTTTTCTATTATTTTTGAGTTGTTAAAAAGGAAAATGCAGGGGAACACCTGAGCTTTTTATATTTACCTCAAATAAGAGTTGTTTTTGCAGTTTTGAAACCTAATAATTAGTGAACTCCCTATTAAATGCTATTTCAAGACACAAAGATACAATAGGTACTTACGAACAATAACAGTGCAATCAGGCTTCCCCCTTATTCTTGTCATATCGTATTCTTTGCCAGCTTTATCGACACACCAACAGTAGCCAGTTGATCCATGACATTGAATTTTCTCGTATAACCCATCACTCTTGCATTGCGGCACATACTGCCCAACCAAAGGTTGTTCTGATGACCTCAAGACGTTGTCTCTGTGTTTCTCGCATCGTGTTGGCTGTCCTAAATTCAGAATATAGGAACTTGCTCACAAAAAAAGGCAAAGAGGTCAGAAATATTCATATGGCTGGCTACAATTGATATTTCGAGTTCTTAATGAACGATAAACACTCTTTGCTTGATACTTCCCAATAGCTAAATGATACTTCTAAATATTTCATATTTTGAAACATCAAGTCGATAATATGATATATCAAATCAAATCTGTGATGTGTTTTCCTAACATCCAACATAAACTTTCTTAAATCATACAAATGCAAACCTTTTGAATTGAACACAAAACATGAAAAGCTTCCCAACGTGATCGAAAAATGACACAACAATCAATGCATTGAAACTTCAATATCTGAACATGTTCTCACGTTATGTATATACTCTAAATAAATTTTATTTTTTGCATTAAAGAATAATTTTAGTCTGTTAGAGTTGATCATTTTAAAAATTAAAAGCAATAGAACTGACTTTCGCAATTTTCAAAGTTAGGCCCATCTGCGAATGACTTCCCATCAGGACAACAACCAAACTGACTATTCCAGCAGGCAGCTTGATAACCTTGAAAACAGAAAATGTATCCTTGGAAACTGACGCTCAAAAGGGGAAAAATATCAAGCAATTTTGTTTAGTTTGCAACTGAGGAAATTCTTTAAACTCTTTGTCATAAATGGTCACTACTTAAACTTCGGATTGCACAGTTTTATTAATCAGTTAAATATAGCTATTTAGTAATCAAACTGTTTCAGTTTTAGCATCACTCTACATGAAAATGAAACACTAATATTGTGCAGCAAAAATAATTTGTTTTTACTATAGTTCTCACCCTTGAACTCTGTTGGTAATACTATTGGGCAGTAACTGGGCACCCTTTACGGACATAAGGTCGCGTTTCTGATTGGCCTATTTCGATCCACAACTTGTAATATATATTTCCTAGCATAGAAGTTTTATTTAAATGAGTTTTAAGAAATACTAAACAAGACGTTGGCGACCGAAATTGCAGTAACACTGTAGGTAACCAAAACCCCTATTCTAGACTTTGATAAACATAATTTTATTTCAACCAAGAAATAGGGATGAAATTATCGAGTTAGTTACACTTAATTAAGTTTCCTGGGTAACTTAATGTGGCATTTTTCCAAAGTATTTTACACCAGGTATCTACTAAGAAATTTATTTTTCTTCTATCTTCATCCACCAGATAAGATATGGGACAACTCAATTTCTCAAAATACCTGGGCACCCCTCTTTGTATGGTCCTTGCGCAGTTGTTTTCCCGTCAGGGCAACATCCAAAAGGCGCGCGCCAGCATTCAATGATGGTAGGACCTGGAGGATGGGAATGAAGAAAAGCAATTCAAAATGTGCTATACATATTTAAAATTTCTCGTTAATAGCGTACGAAAATTAAACTAGACCTACATATTCCTTCTTGCCGCAATAGGCTTTGACATTTCCTACGGCGGCTTTACTTAAAACAGCCGAAGTCACTTTTGGTTAGATTATCCTTATCTCCCTAAGAAGATAGAACCTTGCCTGTTCTAATATGATATGCAACAAATTAAGTAAAAACCATTCAGAAAGGGGGCTTTTCCCCTCAGTTGAAGGACGTCCTCTTTCAAATGGCTTCTAAGGCTTCTAGGCAAGTCAATATCCTATTTCAACTCAGCACAAAATAATAAATAGCTATACGTAGAGAGAAGCCGGCAAGTTACATAAACATCTTACAACAGCTTTAAATGAGCCCTCATGCCTTCCCACTATTTCCGATGTTGGATTATTGCCATTTGATTCACGAACAACCCTTATTTCACGATATATAAAAGCTATCGGATCGAAATAATCCTTTTCCAGCTAATGGGGGCAGTGGATTCCCTCTCTATAAGATTGTAAAGATAATACAGGAAGTAAACCCCAGTCCAATAATTTTTTTCTATGATCCAAAGTGAGTGTGGAAAGATATATTCTTTGAAATAAATACTGATTTGGTTTTCCTCACCTCCAAGGACTGCATCATCTCGTCTGCAAGTAGGCTTCCTATTAACAGTATGAGATTCATTCTTCTCTAGGCCTTCAAGATCAACACACCAACAAACCTTGACTGACTCCCAACATTGTACGGCCGTAAATGTGCCATCTAAATTACAAGTCGGTATGTATCGTGTTCGGTAATTGCTCAAAATCGCTTTTCTTCGCTCTTCGTTACATTTGCTGTAAATACCTGCAAGATGAAATGACTCTATTGAAGAAAAATCATTATAAGAAATGACGGTTTTGCATTGGAGGTAGATTTCTCTGTCGTGACAATGGATTTTTGGCACATAAGCTGGAGAGGGTGGGCAAAGGCCCTTCCGCCCCCAGTGAGATTTTTCCCCCAATTAGGTAGATTTTACAAACATAACAATCAAAGGAAGAGTTCGCTCAATTTCAAGATTAAGGTAGTCGTTTCATGTCAATTTAACATATTGTGAACTGAAGTAAGGTTTTCGAGAACAGGAGAGCTTCAGGAAAGGGGTAGCGTAAAAAGCTGCTTTTAGAAGAGAAGATTCAGAGTATGTTTTCTTGACTCTGAAAAGATTTAGGACCAAGTTTAGAGGAGATCAGTAGCTACGTTTGGAGAGGGTAGGTTTGGAAGGGGCAGAATCGAAGAGGGTAGGTTAAGAGGGGGTTGGTTTACCTAGAAGACGAACTTGGGCTTCTAGAAGCAGGAGACCTGGAAATTACAAGGTGCCTTAACAGAATTAGTTTACGAGGATATCTGCATCATAGTATGTTTTTTAAAAAACAGCTCTAGCACATCTCAAAGATGATTTAACGAAAGTTACTGTTCAACCAGTCTGTCAAATAGTGCTCGATGTCGTATAGGCAGAGTTATCCACGCCTTGTTGTGTAGAACATAAGGGTTCTAAGTTGCTTCTCTGAGTTTTCACGCAATGCGATCATCGAGCAGATCAAATATAATTTGTGTATAGCGGGATGTTTCTGTGATTAACTGTAAAGTGTAAAGTAACGAGTTGAGGTATGGCTAATATCATCATGTTGCGATAGACTTCTTAACACAACAGCTATTTGAAACTTAAATGATTTCACAAGCCACAGAGACTGTTGGAATGAAATCATCAATAGAGCTCTTGGTAATGAGCTTTGAGGTTCTGATATCTTTGAGGTAATGACCTTTGGTAAACTTATTCCTAAATTGGTATGATAGGTATGAAATTACGGTTGTCTTATACGTTTCCTGGTTTTGGTGTGATAAAAACACAAGGGCCAGTTGCTTGTCATAACTTACTATTGGAATATATACTCAAAGCTAAACGAATCTGCTAGCAATCATTTTTATTGAACTTGGCCAGATAAAGGTGATGATAACATTGGGTCCTTATCAAAACCTGTCATCCGCATTCATTTGGGTAAAAACTAGTAACCTGGGTTTCAATTAGAAAAAAAATCAGGACCCGAAAATGAGCGGAAAAGGAAAACACAGGTTAGGTCTCAACACACACAAAGCACAAAACACAGGTCTCAACACAAAACACAGGTCTCAACACACAACACAAAACACAGGTCTCAACAGACAACACAAAACACAGGTCTCAACATTCGAAAAAAAGAATCCATCGCTCGTTTTGAAACAGGTTTTAGAGAGTATCTTTCGAACTCTCCACAGGACCCAAACACGACCCCTTGGTACAGCAGCAATTCGCATTATTTTATCTTATTTATTTATTTTTATTTTTATTTATTCTTTTTCTCTTATTATTGTTAAACAAATATTGTAAATAGTTCTTTTTTTTGCTGAAAGGTATCTCGTGTAGAATAAATATTATTTTGAGGTTGGATTGAAAGTAAAATTTCTTGATCGGATTTCATGTAGGGGGCAGGAAAACTTTCCATACAACTGGCAAATACACTATTTCTCGTATTCGATAAATCTCTTTACAACAACCAGGCCTATAAATGCGGTGTAAATGAAAGATTTGCTAGAGTCTTACTTATACCTTGAATAGAGTTTGTAACCATAGCACAATCAGTGTAAAATTACATATAACCATATTGTTGTTAAACAAAAAATCAAAAATAACTACAAAATTATGATGGAAGAGAGTTGAAAGCTGATCGCTTCTCAAAGGAGATTTGTGATTTCATTGAGCTCGGTTAACTTTAAAACAAATCCAATATCGAGATTTTGATATTTTTCAAATAAATATCTATTAGAAATTTGTATGATGTATTTTGACCCCGAAGGGACAAGATAAATGCAAGTGGACATCGGAGCAATCGCATTATCTAGGCCATTAATCCCTTTTGAATTGATTTCCTTCAATTAAATGCTTCTCATAACAGTAACCACAAAATCAACCCTAAACAACTGAACAAGACAGCTCTGAAATTCTGTTCTATCCTATTTCAGCTTCGCCATTTCCTTCATCGATTCATTATCTTTTTTACATGCACGTTGGAGTACTTGATATCTGTAATAAGAATCTTATTGCATATCATATTATACCGAATCAGGAATCATTCGCAGAAAAAGCAACAAGCATTCTAAAAGTATTAATGCGAAACAAAATGTTGATCTTTAACCCTATCGTGGCCCCAAGGTACAATGACCATTGAGAACCGATATAGATCTGTATATAAAACTTCCAACACTAGTTATATCATATGTCACTTTTCGACCTGGCCTCTTGGGATGTCACCCCGGCTAGCCCCCTCTCTATGTCCCTGTCAGCTGTTTTCTCGTTAACTGTGCAAAGCTCAATCGAGCTTAACAACTGTTTCATTGACTCGCCATTTGTAGAAATCACAAATTTGAACAAAAATTATATAAGACAAACAGTTGTTTCTTTCCACTATAAAATCCTTTTCTATCAAACATCACTTCTTAGCCAATAACTATTACCTAAAAAGTCTTATATTTGGAAAGTAATAGTCTGTCTATCTTGTGGATGTTTGTCAATGAAGACCAGAATGAAAAAAAGGAATGTCGAGAAGACCATTGACAGGGGCATTTCAAACAGCCTTGACCAAATTCCCAGCATTGTGTGGCTGTTGAGCTTGTGGCCAGCAAGGCTTTAGACGTGAAAGCAGGATTAAATGGCTCATGTCGTGGTTTTAAATAATGTTGTCTTAGGGAATCCAACCAAAAGGATCGTATAAAATATCATTGGCGTTGTGAATACACATGATGTATTGATCTGGTGTTTTTGCTTATTATGAGGAAGTTAATGTGTGAACAGAGATGGATTAAAATAATTAGTAAAGTAGATCATATCACACACAACATAACAGTATTGAAAAACTTTAAAAATTGTAGCATCACTGCAACTACTTTTGAGACGGTTTAACCCAGAGTTCATTTGGTTTGTTTTTCATTAGATATATATAATTCCTAAACAAGTTCGGAAATCTATACTTCCTTTAGGCGTCCTCTAACCTGTATTTCGGAAAATACATGCAAGTTGGGTGGGGGAGGGGGTATCTGTTTTACAGAGATATATACAACTTCTTGTCGTTAGAGCGTCGAGAGGGAGTAACAGCATTTCTTTCTGGTAGGAGTACCAAGATGGGCAAAAGGTTTTCTTTGCAACAGGGGCTGTGCTGGGGTAAGGAGCCTTATTTTATATCTGGACAAAACAATACGTATCAATTATTTACATAAAGTTAACCAAGAATACGTCTTGGCGTCTGACTTGGACACCCAATCGCCGAGGCCAATGCAGGCTTTTGAAGAGGCCTTTTGAAAAGGCAAAATTATAATTTCATGTATACTATTTGTGGTGCGCAAAGTAAAACGTTCGAGAAACAATATATTAGACCTTTGTTGCTTGCCAAATAACAAAAGAACTCATTGCAACATACTTCTTGGTGACAACTGAACGCGTGAATGTGACAGCGTGCGTTCTTCAACCGCTGATAGAGAATAATATGTTCCAGATTATGTAAGGATGGTCATACAAATATTTCCCACATTTTAATTCGGTTACACACAAACGAATGAAACTAACAGCTTCATTCACTGCAAATTTTCTCTAACCCCATCGTCTAGGTTAGCAAAATTGAATCTTCTCACGACCAACAAAGGTATTTACTACCCAACAATTACAAAACCAATATTTCTCCAATAATGTCTTCGCCATGCAATAACGTTTTTGGTCAATTGAAACGATTGTTTGCCTTATTAAGTAGCACTCAAACACAAAGCTTTTGCTCGCTGAATTTCCACTGTTTGACAATTTGAAAGGGAATGTTTCCTGGCTGAATAAGAATTTTATCTCATACCTGGGCAACCCTCTTTGTTGGCACCTTGAGCTGCCGTCCGCCCGTCCTCGCAGCATCCAAATCTACTATCTTTGCATGAAACTTCTGCTTTTCCAGGTTCAAAGGCTAGTTGAAGAAATAATAAAATCGTAATGAGATGAAAAGTAGCGGACGCCATGTTTACAAGCAATGGCACCTACAGATCTGCCATTAACTCGACGACCTACATGTGCAGTGTCTGGTTTTTGTAATCCCTCTAGTTCGTGACAAGAAATCATGCGGTTATTCTCATGTGGCTGAATTTTTCAGATCGTATGACACTCCTCTCTTCACCAAAACCAAATGCGGCGGTTGCAGTAAAATCCTTCTGAGCTTTTTCATAACATTAACCTCTCTTGTGGTACACAGAAACAAAGAATTAATTCATAGGGGAGATAACAATTTATGCTCTTGTTCACTTCTTACTCCTTTGAGAGACTGACCCCGAGGTCTCAATATAATGGGCGGAGACGTGTTTTATGTATTGCAAATTTTTTTATAATTTCTAAATTTTCCATTAAAAGAGGGAACATAAATATACCTTTTGCGTTAGTCTCTGGAAAACGTAAGCAAATGGGGAACATTATTAAAGTGCCTGTGATATGATTTTCGTACTTTTAGGTTTATATATCTATTCTTATGTAAAAAGGCCTGTTATTTTCATTTCTAAGGTTAGTTTTTACGTTTCGTGAGAAATTAAGGAGTTATTGGCGATCTTCTACGCCAAAATTCGCCATCTTGGTTTTAAGAATAAGTAGACAGTGACGTCACGGGAGGGACCCGATCGCCTCCTCCTTCGAGTTTTTGTATCGTAGTCACTGAGGGAAATCTAACAGGTCCAAGATGAGCGATATTTCCAGAGAAAGTAGTGGCAGCGAGGATGAGATTTTTTAAGGTAGCGCTTACATTGTTACAATAACGAGTTCCATGACGTCACAAGAGAACGGCGAATGATGATAAAGCGACTTGGCTAGGCCGCACTATTTTGCTTAATTTCAATATCAAAACGCTTTTATTTAAAAAAAAATTCAGATCTACTATAAAAGCAGTGCAACGCTTCAAGTAAGAGAATAAAAAGAATCATGTCACAGGCACTTTAATGAAAATGCCCCCTTTTATGGGAAGACGGTTACTTTATATCTACAGAATTTCTACAAACGTTAGAGGTCCTGGTTCAAACCCCATTTAAAGAACAAATATTCTACATAACTGTGTCTCTCAAAAAGCCGTCCCACACAAACATTCCATCTGAAGAGATATAATTTCATAGGGGGCTAGGGGATCAAGGAACGATTGTCCTTTCTTTTTATTTGGTTGAGATCAAATAAAAACTGCAGCATTATTGTAAACACAAGTCAAATTTCCACCGTTCTATCTCTGATCTCAACTGGAGTGTGCGATGTTAACGAGACCACGTTTATATTCCATGATCCACTGTCACTTTATCCTTGTTCAAAAACACCCTCAACTGCAGTGCACTATGTTAACCATATTGTGGTTAAAATAATTAGCTGGCCACGGCTAGTTTCTATTATTAATTATCTATTTTAACCTAGCTCATAAACACTTTTGGGGACATTACAACAGGGCTTGTGTAAAATGCATTCAGAATAATAATGTATCGATGCATGAAATAAGAACACCTTTAACCAGGGTAAAATATTAATTATAGGTGAGCATGAAAACGTTTCATTTAAGAAAGAAAAGATTTTTGGACTAGCGTCCTAACAATAAAGAAAGTCTCTCGGTGTTACGTAACGGCCTGGTGGATATGAAGCTTCTCTTGGCCTAACAAATATTTCCAAGAAAAAACTCTACAAGTGACTATTTTAATTATTTTACATTTCATAATTTTCACAACATATTTCCTTATTTATCGTCTAAAGACCAAATTCCGTGAAATATTTTATCGTTGACTTTAAACTTAAACACTTTAAAGAAACATCTTCTAGAAAATTAAAATTTAGAGATAACGTAATTTATACTTACTACATTGAACTTTTGTGCCTTTTTCGAAGAACTCCGCATTGCAACCACCGCAATAGTTAGGCACACAAACCGCATTTGGAAAAAGTTGGCATGCTTGTATATGGCAAGGGTTGACCAGGCACTTTGCTTCGGGTTTATCAGCTGGACACTTAGTGGTATTTGAAGCTTCTGAAAAGAAAACATCTTTGGACTCAATTGGATTGCATGAGCAAACCTTTAATAATTGATTCGTTATCTTTAACAAGACAATATTGTAAATGAAACAAGTAGTATCAGATCCTGAGCCACAAAAAAGGAAGCTTCAAAATCAACAATGCAGAGGCCAAGATAACATTAGATGGAGGAGAGGATGGACAGCTTCCACTTGTGTCCAATTCAAAGAAGTATAACACTCCACCATAATCTCGTACGGCTTTTACAAAAATTATTTTGTTTTCGGGAAAAAGCCCCCCTAAGCCCATAAAAACCCTTTTGTTCTAGAAAATCACGTACGTTGTATAGGAAGAGCTATATACCCCTCGTCCTATTGCCGTCAAAAATTCTGTAATTCTACTTCTCACCTTTGGCTTTGACTAAAATAGGTAGAGCAAATTCTGATAACAAGAGTGGACCCGGGGTAAGAAAGTTACATTTCTTTAAAGGCGTTCTCACATGAAAGAAATCCTGTGAAGGTCGCAAGAACGTAAAGGTTTGCATTTTTCAAATTACTCCCCTAAGTTAGGTTGTGACACTGTATTTCTCACTGGCCGCCAAAAATCCTTTTATCAAGTACATAACAAAATTTATTCCATACCCTTCTCAATACAGATTGTGCTTTAAAATACTGTTTTATAAAAATAATATGTTTTAATACCACATAATTTTATTTCCACCTTCGGATTTGGTGGACCGTTTTTTTACCTTGGTAGACGTAAAAAAAATTTTTATACGTATAAACATTTGGTACTATTTCTACACTCAAAATAACGCATTGCTCAAATTAGCTCAGTAACATGACCTCAACTCCGGTGTATACCCACACCGAACTTTAATCAGAGATCGATTTTCGATTAATTTAAATCGTATTTTGTTTTTCCCTCTTTAATAGCTGCACACAATATAACTTTATTCTATTCTCTAGAAACTCTTTATCGAAAATACTATGCTCAAAAAATACGTTTCCAGTTGCTGGCCAGACAACATATACTTTGGTACTCCACCCAGCTTATCTCAACTGGAGACGCTCCTGTTAAAGAGGCTTTCAAAATGGTGTGTTGTGTTTCAAAACATATTTCAACAGCATTCACAGCCAGAATAAACTAATTTCATGCCATAGTCCAAACATAAATAAACACCAACGCTAGCATTTCGGGCACAAATTACAAAAGTTTAATTTCACTTTACATGGAGCTCTTCAAACATTAAATATTCCATAGCTAAAGTCTGAATTAAGTAAAACAATTTGCTGGGAATTTCTATTGCTTGATGGGTTTGGATACCCAAAGACCAAAAATTTTTACTTAAAACTCAGTCAAATTACTCTCCATTTGTTTTATCTACACCCAAAGACGGTTGCGGTACCATCCCACTTTTAACATAGTACTAGGCTTGTTGCCAAACCAGTAAAAATTTATATTTTTGAATGATTTAATTTTTCTAAGCAATTCTTTCTTTCATAAGGGTCTTAACAGTTTCCGTTGTTCAACTTTTATGGCCATTTTGTAGAATGAAGGGTATAAATTTGGCTAATTGGATTCAAACGTATTTTCCAAAGAAAAAAGTGAAAATAACAAAACAAACGAAGTATGGATAAGTTTAAGAAAGATTTTCTTTCATCTTGATAACGTTCCCTTATCCAAAAGATCCCTTTTCAATGTACAATAAACATTAAAAAATCTTTGTTTTTCTTCAAAAGAATTACTTTCTTTCAAAAGCTTACCAAGAGCGACAGAGATGCCTCGTAAAAATTTTGAAGTCCCAATGCACATAAAGAAGAACCTACCTTTTCCAACATAACATGGAAAAACGCTTGTGTTTTCAGTCTCTTGCTAATAAATTATATCTCAAAGGGCGATTCAGTAGCGACAAAATATGTGTGGGAATTTCCATTTATTTTGTGAGAAAACAGTTTATGATGAACTTCTCCACATAGAAGAGACTTTTGGAGTTGATTGTATTGGTTGTGTGAGAAATTTTAGCATTTGAAATTTAAGGAAAGACTTTTGAGATTTCGAAGGATTTTTATTTTTTAAGTGTTTGCCAAACATCCAATCGCAGTGATGGAAAATCACGAAATTTTATATTTCTGCTTCATCAAAATTCAATTGCCTTTAAAGTATTTTGCATTGAGTACTGAAGAATCTTAATTTTTCCGAATCTCCAATCTTCGTGTAAGAGAAATGTGTGTATCCCAGAAAAGTCTGGTCAAAACCCGCCAAAACAGTTCAAACAGGCCTAGTTTCAGCGCTTAATTGGGTTTTTGTTAGAATCCTTTATTTGATTGGTTAATACCATAGGGAGAAAATAGAAGTAGTGATAAAATAGAAGTAAAGTGAAAAATAGTTTGATTCCTATTTGACTGCACGCATTTTATTTCAGGATGAAACTTTGACTGTACATTTGGAACGAATAAAGAATTTCAGTTCTAGCAACAAACAATTAAGCAACAATTAAATCTTGAAAAAATTGCAGAATTCCATAGTTTCGTGATTTTCAATCAATGTGATTGGCTGGTTGACAGTAGGAAAGATTACACAAAGGACCCAAATGCTTAAAGTCATTAACAAACATTAATATACACGAAGAAATGTTTCTCCTATTTCAATAATCAGGTACTCGAAACATTGACTTTCGATTGTACTTACCACACTTGATAACATGGTTATCTATGATGAACTCTGGGCGGCAACCTCCGCAAAGGTTTGTTCTGCACAGAGCTTCTGGAAAATGTTTGCAATATAGGCCGATACATGGGTCACTTCCACACTGAACTATAGGGACGTCTAAGGGGCAGTTGTCATACCAAATTGGTGCTCGGCCTATGAAGAGAAGAACCATGTAAGTTATATTGTGAAAAATTCAGTTGAGCCGTCGTGGTATTGTGAAGTATTCAGTTATGAGGGTATTGGAGAACTCTAAAGGGCTTACTGAGTACTTAGTTCTGAATATAAATGTTAATTCGAGTGTTAATTAGTTATAACGTAATCTGGTGTGCTCTAATGTTTCGAGATACGACATTTGAGGGGAACCAATGCAAGCTGAAAAGTAGGGAGACCTGAGCCAAATTAAAGACCCATGATAAACAACATTGCATGAAAGCTCTATTGGTTAGCAACACGTGGTGGCAAAATCCCCCCGTCGTCCTAGGCCCTATTTTTCTTTATCCCTACCTACAACCCTGCTTTGGATTGACCAGTATAAATGACTAGCATCTCTCTTTAAAATCATTTCAAAGAAATTGCGTGGAAATTAGAGAAAGGCTAAACTCACTGCAATCGACAACTTTTCCTTCCTGAAGATATTCCGCTTTGCAATCTCCACACAAATTTGTTCTGCATTTTGCAGCAGGATACGCTGGACACTCTGTCTTTAAACATGGATCCTCGTGGCATTGGACTATAGCCTCGTCCTTCTTGCAGTCATCAAAAATATTTGGTACATACTTTGGCTTCCCTAAATGAGAGAAAGGCAGAAAATAGCACGTTGAAGTATATTCCCTAAAAGCTTTCAGCCATGATACCTTAATGACGCCTAGTAATTCTGATTCAGAGAAATTCGTGGCTCCAAATAAAATCGCAAAATACTTTGCTGCGATAAAATGATCCTAAGACATTTATCCTAAGACAGCTAATATTGAAAATTCCCCGTTGCCTGCTTGGCAGATCTATATTTGAACACTTTCAAACAAACAAATACATGCATACGAACATGACATGATTGAGTTGTGAAACATATAAACGAACAAAGCATGCTCCCAAAAGAAAGCCTCTTTTCTGCCCTTATTGGCGCATGGAGCACTGGTCCTGAGAGCAAGCACTGACGTCATACTAATGTGTCTAGATCCCTAGTCAAAGTCACTGTTTGAAATTACAATTAACTTCTATATCATGATACGTTCCATATTTCCATGTCAACTTCTTCTAAATTTACTTGAAAAATGTGAAAAGATTTTTGGCGGTACAGAACTTGAAAATGGCTTTGAAAAAAGCAAACATTTTATATCATATTGGCTAATATTTGCTTTTTTCAAAGCCATTTTCTAAATTTACTATAGCCTTTCTGAACCTGAGATACATATGCCACAAATCCAAGATCGATTTCTAGCTTAGAGGTCAATTCTATTCCATCAATCAAATAACTCTGTTCCCAAGAAATTTGGTTCATTTATATTGCATTAGCTGCAACGATGCAAAGCTAGGCACGAAAATCCCTCAAGGAGGGGGGGGTGGGGGAGGGGGTGATTCTTTTTGTTACTTTTGAGATGCTAGTTGCCTGGGACAAGAACTGTTTTGCTGGGTATTGAACTAAGGGATTACCGATGCGCATGTCTATTATTCTTTGAGCAATTGTCGTAAAAATAGCATTAGGTACAATACGTACCGTTCCACATTTCGAATCATTTTTAAAGCGTTTCAAATTTTGGAACGGAACAATGCAGACTGAATGGACCCAGCAACCTTGCGTTCCGCTTTCTTGAGCGGAACCATGTGGAACGGTACGCATCTTCCCAATGTGGCAGAGACATGGGAAAAAGGGGAGCTGCAAGTTTTAAAAATGAACTTAACAGGATAGAAAAGATCTTCCCTATCCCCTTTTGAATGTTTAGCCCACTCAAAACTTTTTAGCTTCCTCGAGCTGTAATATGTTCCGCAGCTGCCGCCTTGGAGGCGGACCTGAACGCAAGCGGAAGGGTGTGCCAGGGAAAGGTTGTACCCAAGCAAAACTTGCCAGTCCACCACGGTTTATTTGTTGGTTTACATCTGGAAAACAGTAGAGTTCATCATTTCTAATATCAGCCATACCAGTCTTGGGGACAGATTAAAGAGATAAGCCCTGGTGGCGTCACGAAATCGTTTAATAGCAATTGAATATTCAAATTTCATTTAAAAATGTACTTTTTGAAGATAGCACAGAAGGGCGGAAACGTAGCGTACCTATGTACTTTTCGTCTGACGTCGGACAATAATCAAAGTTAAGCATAAATTACATCCGGGTGCGGATTGAGAATAACATGTAAAGAAGTACGGCGTGTCTGATCTGATTGGCTCTTTGTTTTTGACCAATTGGCGGCCGTTCATCTCTCACCTGGTTGAAGAGTCTAAAGGGAAAACGAACTCTCGTTGCCTAAACAAATCGGAACTTTTTGTTTTTATATAGACGGACCCCAAACTATGAAAATTCAAATTTCAGCTATTGAAGCAAAGCGAAAAAGAAGAAAAGCTTATTCTGAATTTTACATTTTTTCAAGTACCAGTAAATTGAAGTTTAAGCTGGCTGTTCTTAACTTTTTAGAAAACCTGAATCTTCATTGTTCTTAATTTGTTCTTAAAATATTAGGGTGTAAGCAGTGCAGTTGATAGCTATTGCGCTCTAGGAAGGTGTTCAGGGCCCAATTGCATGGACGGATTTACCGGGGTGTGTGTGTGTGTGTGTGCGAAAATCCCCCCCCCCCAAACATCTGTGTGTTCTCCGGTAAAGGTTGTTTGGATTCGCTAAAAAACTTTTTTTGGTAGTCAGTAGTAAGAAAAAGGATGCAAAAATTTGCTTCATTTATCGTCTAATCTTCTTTATTTCTAAGTTAAAAACTGAATTTTGGAAATGGGCGGCACCAATTCCAGTCACTTGAAAGGTGTGGCCCAAAATCCAATAATTATCTAACATCCCCCCCCCTCCATCCTCCGAGCAGGGATGTATCTTAGCTCCAACAAAGTGATTGAGACATCCTTTTGGAAATTTACCGAAAAAGTACCACTAGATGGCAAAGAAAACTCCTTATCTTTGAGATTATTATTTTTTAAGGGGTCTTACAACATTGCTCAAAATCACAATTTACAGTGGTTCAGCCCCAGATTGCCCTTCAATTGTTTCATTTTTTGACAAGCTTTGAGGCTCATGTTCTTATAAAATTGTTCTTATAAAATGAGGGTGTATAATGGCTTCAAGACCCTATCAACTGCCAAATAGTAATAGACCCTTGTCGAGACAGGATGCGGGATGTTCGAGACGGCACGCTTCTCCAACTGTAAAAACGCGCTACTACATTAAAACAAATATTGAAAGTCAGCAAGACACGACGTGACTGCTCCTCGTTGGGAGGAAACGCACCACTGGCTAGATCTTGCGACACAAAAGCATAGTATGACGAAAGCAGTTATTTCATCATTTTCGTTGGTATCCCGCATGAAAGTAACGTAGTGTAATGAACAAGTTCTATACAAAATATTGGTTCTCCACTACAAAGCTCTGCCGGTTGAAAGTGATTCGCGTGGAGGGTCATTAGGCAAACCGATTTTACATCACACAGGGGGGCGCGGTGGAGTCAAAATTTTTTATGGACATGAGCGGGGTATAAATAAAAATTCCCTACAAGTTCCAACATTATGGCAAAATTTGTCGAAATTTTCCAAAAATTTGGAACTCTAGAAGGCTAAAGTCCCCAAGGGGCCACTTGCCCCCAGCAATCGCGTTCCGGAGCTCCCTTTAGTAGAAGCCGCCTTTTTCTGGGAAAATTGAAAAACCATTTTAGAAGGATTCAAAAGTCGAAGTAAATTGTTTTACTTGGGTTATTTCCACCTCAAGAAAGCCTTTGTCTCTTGACAACGTTATAAACGCGCATTTGAGGGATGATTCGAAGTTTGTTTCGAATGAAATTATTAGGGGGCCGGAAGAATCTCAAAGTCATAGGGTCTTGCAAAGGTTTTAACAAACGCACTCGGAATGCACAAGGAAAATTGGTATTTTCCCAAAAGTTGGGAGGGGGTACTTGGCTTTGCTCCCCGTTTCAGCCCAATCACGTAGGTGAAGATGTCAGCTAGGGTGGGCAAACTCCAGCAGAACCATACCTGAAAAGGACCATACTCGAGCAAGAACCATACTTGTTTTAAAGCAGGCTTTAAAACAAGAAAACAGATATATAACAAACAGATATATTTGAACAAAATTAAGCTCACGGAATTATAATTATGACAAATTTTCAAAATATCACTTGGAAAAACTGTAGCCAGAGGGGGCAAGTCATTGTAAAAAATTTCATTTGGGGGGCATATCCCCCCTCCCTGTACCCCTGCAGCTACGTGACTGTTTCAGTCATGTCTGGAAATTCTGACTCATGTGTGTCTTGACACCTTACGTCGCATAACTTTTATGGAATGAATTTTTGCTTTTAGATAATTCCCATTGAGAAAAGGGATTTCGTGGCTGAAAGGGGTGATTGACCTTCAATTTAACAATGCGTGCACTTTAATACAACCAAAGGTTTTCATTCATACAGAAAGTGTAAGAATTTCATTGAAACTCTTAGCTGACACAATGGCCTATTGACTTAGTTTGTTTACCCTGATTCATCCGATTGAGATACATAGTAAAACTATGGTTAAGGTCGGATCAACTAAATCTTGTCAAGGACACAATATCAGGCAAACAAGATGACTGTAACTTTGTGGCAAATATTGGCAGAAAATCCGTAAGAAAGACTTCCTAGTTCAGCTCAGTCGACAGAAGCATCTTTTGAATCTGGAGACTATTATCTCAATAATTAGACTTGAGGGCTTTAGTTACACATTTTTTTTAAATAAGAACCTATAAATTGGGGTACATGCATATGTTTTTTTCATAACCTGAACAATCTTACCATTCTTCTAAACATTTCCAAACCTACTCAAAGGGTGCGAAAGAGGAGAGGGTTAAAGCAAGACATGAAAGTTGGGTGTGGTGTGTGAAATCGCTGTCCTTGTTCGAGAACAACTTTTCGCTATCTGGCCCAGTGGAGTATACACCCTACTTAGAAATTAGGCTTGATGTTAAATTTTCAGATAACGCTTTAATTTTTTCAATTGTATGAAACCATAATTTTAAAGTATGGATCTCATATTATATTAAAAAATTCCATTGATTTTATTTGAAACAACAAATTTAAGTAGACGCTGGCTCATGTTTTAGGAACACCTATAAAGTGATAAAGAGGAGAGGAATGACGTGGGCTCACGCAAAACATTTCTACGGAACACCTTAGCCAAACACACAGACGTTCCCTTTGCTGATATTTTGTCAATATTTTGCCAATTTGCAAATGGTGATGTTTTGTTTTGTTAAATAGTGCTTTTCAAATGTAGCAACAACTTGTTTTTACTTAGAAAACATACATCAATCAATTATGAAGAATCAATGATTAAAAAATCAAGAAAATTTCTGCAATCATGCTGTCCAAACTGCAATGAAGTAAACATTGGGAGAGGGGTATTTTCTTAGTCGAATCTCACAAATGAATTTGAGAATAGCATAAAAAATAACAGGGAAATACTGACAAAGAGTTTGCTAAGCTGAGGTCAAGAAAATTTATGCAATTATAAGTGTTTGAAATCCAATCAATCTCGATAAGTTCGAGCCAAGAATAGAAAAGAAAGTTGATGTCAATCTTGAAAGGATTATTTTCGGGTTATAATTTGCATTGTTAATGTCTTTGTTAATGTCTTTGTTAATGAGCTGATCTGATAGCCACCGTGAACCAGGGGCTTTCCCTCTTGTTCAAGCAATCAACTTTATAGAAATCATTTAAGAAATCGTTAAACTAAGAAAATCCAATGAAGTGAAAACATGCATGAAATTAGAGAGCATAATGATGATGCAATTTAATCGGTAGGATGTTGGATTTTTTTTTTAATATCAAAATAAGAATTAATTAACAAAGTATCTATTAATTCTGATGTTATATAAACATCACTTGGCCATCATTATTACAATGGTGATATATTTGTATTAGTGTTTTTAAAATATTCCAGAGTTCAGAAATTTCTGGGATTTGACGAAAGTCTTGTGATAGGAACGTGTTCGTAAATTGTAAAAAAGAAAACAAATATTAAGTAAAATTTGTAAAGTTCTATCATGTCCAGATGCATGTAAGCTTGTAAAAGTGAGTCCGAAAAACTTTTTCTCGATAAAATCTTTCCTATTTCGTATTTCTATCACATCAGCGAAAGTTCTAGCGTGATCGATTCTAGGAACACGTGGATAATAATAATTTTGCCACTTACCTTTTGAAAAGTCAAGCTGCAAGCAAATAATAAATAGAATAAGAAGCATTGTCCTCTGCATACTGCCATGAAACATTCTGCAGTTGAAGGCTAGTTTCAAGTAACAAGCCTCATAAGTAAATTCTAGCTAAGGGCGTTCTGACTGTGTCCTACAATCACGCTGCAGCAATGATCAATGGTGCATCTCTTCAGATCAACACATCCGGAAGTCACACAGATAACAAAAGCACCGATAATCAGATGGCGGAAACTTTTCAGGAATTCAAACTTTGCGTTCAATGAATAAGAATTGGGAACGCCCCGGAGAGACCGGGCAAGTCTTGTCCTCAACTTTGTTTCACAGTTATTCACTAACGTGTGCAAATATTGACATTTTGGCACGGAAATCAGAATTCTTTGCAGATCAGAACTCGGTTAGCATTAAAATTTCAGCTTGCGATAAGAATGACCTAGCCAGGGTCAGTCAAGTAGTGGAAACCCGCCTATGGCCTGCAGAACATTTTTCTGTGTTGCCAGATGCTTGGAATGGTTGGCGGCCAAATATTTTACGCGTGACGGCCAAATTCTGCCAGCTAAACAAAATAAACAAAAAAGCTACATTTTGGCTAAGTCTTTAGAGTAATAGTGTAATCAAAATTGGCTTTGTTTGTTACAAAAGCTCCAACTTGCTTTCAATTTCAATTTTCTGTTATCTTTTACTTTGCTTTTTGCTTCATTATTTGCAATTTTGTGGCTTTCAACATGCGGCTAAAATTCGGCCAACTTTTTCGGCCAAATCAATTTTGGACGGCCAATAGCTTTGAAAAACGGTCAGAATAGAGAAATTTGGCCGTCAAAATGGCAACCCTGGTGTTTTCTCGCATAAAGCCTGTATTTTCTTTCCTTTCAAAATTCTTTGCAAAAGCATATCTTGCAACTTTTGAAAAGGTACGATATGTTATAAAAACAAATTTACTTTTCGTGTAAATGTAAGCAAAGCGGAGCGGCACCGAAACAACATTTGCTATAAGAATGATGGCTGCGTTTTTGTTTGACATGCGCGTGTGCGTGTGTGCGTGTACTTTCAGCAAATATTTCTAAATGCAAATCTAAGCTACTTTTCAGCCATCTGGAAATTGAGAGCTATACGCTCGAAGAAAGATAAATCTGGTCAGTCATTCTTGTTATTAAAAACAGTTTAGAAAAATGCTTTCTAGCTCATTTGCGCCCATTCAGGAATTTCATTTTATGTGATGCTAACCGCGGGAGCGGGGGGCGCCCCCCTGATAATTCCCTTGCTCTTGGTTTACAAATAATCGCCTTGCTCTTGGTTTCAAGAATATTTGCCCCCCCCCCCGAAGCGCTTTAGCCCCCTAAATCTGTAATATACTCTGCGGACCTTGGCTGGTAAAGCCCCGTCTGAAAGAAATCACTGTAGTATCCCTGTTTCGTAATAAAAGACAGTCGAAGGGATTTTTTTTGTTATTTGTGACGTGGCAGATAAAGTTTTTGATAATTTAAAAGCAAATTCACGAAAATAGATCTTCTGGCTTAAGAGGCGAAATTTTCTTTCACCTTCACAGTTGCTGCTTGTACAATGAGCCACTAATATGGTTTGTGGATTAAAGTTAACAAAATATTAAAGTTACGATATGAAAATATTTTTGTTTAGGAAGAGTGGTAAATTCTATTGCGGAAACGAAATAAGAGAGGATGATGATTCAATAATGCTTAAGAGGCTCTATTCAGATCATTGACTTTCAACCAACAGTACCTTTTATGTTAAGGTCTTAAACTCCTTATATCCTGGATAATCAAAGAAGTGACTCCAGCTTCCAAAAGATAATACAACTTGGATCCATAGCAAGTAGGTCAAGTCAGGGGCCAAAGAAAAGTAACAATTATCAAAAAGGGTTCTTAAACTATACAAAATGATAATGCTTTGGACCTTGTTTGGCGCCCTAAAAACTTTTTAGCCCCCCCCCCCCCACATTCCAGAGTCGCGGGCCCTGACCCTGACTCTGGTTAAACATTCCAGCACCAGGCAATACCAGCAGATGAAGATGACTGTTCCCCATTAAATTTAACACACAAATATTTTTAATTTCGATTCGTTTCGAAGATTAGGCACTATCTTCGACTCAACCGCCAAAGAAAAAAAAATTATGACTGATAAGGTTTTCAATTTCATCTTGTCTTATGCTTCGTTCTTATGATTGTAAAATACATAAATAACGTACAAATATATTCTTCAATCAAAAGTGATGCCAATCAAAACTTTCGGTAATAATTCTCTGTTTATCTAGTCTCTTTTTGCCTGCACAAATATCGGCAGTGGTTTTGTGACGTCACCCTGGCCCGACGGACGGACACGATGGGGCCATTGAACACTAAATACCGGATCAATACTACTTCCTGCCACACCCATACTTTGGAAATTTGCAGTTTAGTTTCCAAATGCGAACATTAAATCATCAATGTTACCTTCACGTTATCTCTCTACAACAATAACTGTTTATAGGCCATTAATCATCCACCCTTGTGTGACTCTTTCATTTGGTATCTTAAGCTATTTCCAGTTAAGCTCCACCAGTTTCCTCCATAAGGCGCCGATAATTTATCATGAAAATTTGACTTTCCAAAGAGAAATATCATTGTTTTCCTCCTGCGATTGTGATACCGTTCTCAATGTTGCTAATACTTTGGAAAACCATCTGTTCTATATGTTACATGCTAAATATTACATGATGAATCAAATATTCAAAAAATTAATGGGAAAGGCAAGGAAAAAGAATTGGAATGAAAACTATAACACTGAAAAAGACGAACTTTGAGTTTAAGAACTGCTTAAAACCAATGAAAAATAAGAAACATGTCTTTTGAACAAAATAAGTTCGCTTACAATTTCAGGAAAACAGGAAATACACTCATTAGTCCCGTCGGAAAGAATTTGTATTTGGGAGAGGATGGGCCATGGGGGAGCATAAGGTTCCCATTCAGTGCTTTTACAGAAAAGAAATTGATACAGATAAGATTCCCATTTACAGATAAGGTTCCCATTCAGTGCTTTTACAGAAAATTACTCTGGCACAATAACTGCATGGTAAGAAATATAAAAGATAATTGCGTTTCAGCTTCACACAAAAGCCAAAAAGGCTAAGGCGAATAATGCCTATGGGTTTTCACCTCCATACACTTGATTTCATCTGCACACCAGCTTTGTTTGGCTACTCATTCCAAGTCTTTTTATATAGACAATAAAATTAACTACAAAAAGCAACATAGAATCCAAATACCAACTTTGAAGTCTCCAGCGCGTCAAAAGAAAATTATTATGCAAATATAACGATTGCTTTGTGCAGACATGTCAAGTTCCATTTATTTCGAGGACTGGGCACAAGTACATCGGTCTAAAAATGGCTCAAAAGCTATTTCTGAGTTGGGGGACCATTTCAACCTTTTTAAGCGTATCAAAATTGTATTGGTTTCCCAAGTTTCGTGGCTGTATAGCTAACGGTAAGGAAGTTACCATAGAAACCTCTTCTGAGTACTGGGCACAACAACCCCTTTTTAGAAACAGCACAAGGGGACATTTTCCAGAAAGGGTCTATATCCTAACTTGTCGTGCCTATCAAATTGCGTATTTTCACCAAGTTTCATGCTTTTGTCAAAATTGGCACGATTTTTCTTTTTATCAAACCCACTATTTTTTTCTGTTATGGTCTGAAAGAAACAAACGCAAGAGAAATGGAAGGTTTTAATTGGGAGGCTGTAGCCCCCGCACCTTTTTGCGATTCACATAGAAATTGCACAGATTCGGAAACGCTTGGCATAAAAAGGCTAATTTTCGTCTTCAGATAATTGAACTTACGTGTTGAAAGATCAGGGTTTAAACGACTGACTTTCAGATCTGCTTGGTATTTTATACACGGCTAGATTAGTATTTTGTGATTAAACAAAAATTGAGAGACGAAGGTGAGATGAGGAAAAAATCTTGAGAGTCTTGATGTTTCCAAGCCCGTAAATACATAAATACATAAATTTCAATATAACTATATGTAAAAATATAGTTGCCTGATGACCACACGAAACTTGGAGTTGCAACTGAGGCCCCGTCTACACGAGTACGTTTTCAAATGAAAATGCAACTTTATTTTTGCGTTAAAACGGAAAATCTGTGAATGAAAACGTAACTTTTTGAAAACGCATCGTTACCTTCTAGACGGCCGAAAACGCAAGTTTTTAAAAACGATTCAACAAAAACTCAGCAAAAACATGCGCCTGCGCAGAGTTTTGCGTTTTCATGTAGACGGAATGGACAACGTGAAAACGTGCGTGTAGACGGAACAGCTTTTATCCGTTTTCATCAAAATGAAAACGCATTTTTTTAAAAACGTATTCGGGTAAACGGGGCCTGAGAACCGTTTTGTCCTATACAAAAAATCGTGCGCAGCAGCAGCTTTGTCTACACGGCCTCGAGCACAATAGATAGAGCGGCCAAGACCTTTAGTACGAAGATCTACATTTAAAATAAATATGGTGTACGCCAAATTCAACTACAAGAGGCACGTAAGCCGCCGGAACGTGTTGTTTGAGACCGAAAGACTTCTGTTCAACGACCTTTTAAAAATTGGAAAAATTCTACTTGAACTTTAAACGATTTTGATGGGTGCGAAGTCTTCAGGGCTTCAACACACCAACACAAAGTAAAGTGTCAGAATCCAAGTATAACAGATTAGCATACGCTGAGGCTTTGGTTATTGGTCTTGGGTAACTAACAGTGTGTCCAAATGGCATGGAATGCTCTAACTACGATAATGACCATTTCGTATCAAATGTAAGAACAATTCTAAAAACCCTGCAATCTTATGTATGAACTAAGTAAATGGGAAAAATTAGCTTGAATTCTAGAAACTTTAAGCTAAATAAATAATGATCCGAGACAAAGGTTATCTTGCAAAACGATTCAAGGACGTTTTGTTGCATTGGATTTCAAAAGATGGCCTCGCCTATACAGAAATAACAAGCTCACCTCAAAGCATCATTTCAAAAATTTTAATTGAAGCTAACATTTGAATTTCATTACAAGAAGCACCAAACAATTCACGATAACGATAAGATTTCTAAAAAATTAAGGAAATCACTCAAGCCAGTAGAGCTTTCTAATTTTGCAAAAATATGTTATGCCCTTACTAGAGAATCCTTCAGTTGGTTATTCAGACTGGATACCTAGGGCTATTGGTGCTTAAAAGGCACTAAAGTATTATCGATATCAAACTAGTGCCCAGACTCTTTAGTTATCTTGTATGCATGTAGTGAGTTGATTTAGATTTGTTGTTGATGCGTTCCGTTCGACAAGATGTATCTTTGCATCCTGTTTAAACGGGCACAACAACAAACATAATACGCTGATAATACGCAGCGCATTTTAAATGTACGAGGGAAGCATCGTTTGTATTTTTCACTAAATTGGCAATAGACCTGTTGTTTCAGCGTTAATAAAATAGAATTTATCTAGGGGTAAGAACCCATACCGTTTATTTGTTAAAAAGACCCTTGACAATCTCCATGAGAATTAAAGGCAATCTGTCACGACGTTGATTGATTATAAGAACAAAGGGATTTTTTATTGTTTCCAGTCCCCCTTTAATTTATCGCATTGTAAAAAATATGGC